ATCGATTAGATCGTTGCCGTTCCGCAAGCCTTCCAGCGTTAGGGTTTCCCTGGTGTTTTTGGGTGCTACAGATTTTACTGCTATTGCATAGCAGTTTCGAGCGTTGAGTTGATCCCCCTTAATTACCCATGTGCCGTAGCAAGTGGGAAATTTCATTAGCAGCATATGAGGGGAGAGGTGTGCCTTGATCCCTGTGAATGTCGTTCGACCAATTATGACGTTGTACGCCGTTAGGCAATCGACAGTGAGGAACTGATTGTACACCATGGTCTTCCACGGGGCAACACCGAAGGCGATGGGTAGGTTGATGCTACCGATTGGTTGGACCAGATCTCCCGAAAAGCTAAGGAGAGGTGCCAATTGCCGATTGATCTGGCTGTCATCTATCCCCAACTCTCTGAATGCATCTGCAAAAATGACATTTACCGAACTTCTAGTGTTGATCAAGACCCTTCTGACATCAAATTCAGCTATTTCGGCTCGGATAATCATTGGATCGTCATACGGGTAAAGGATCCCTTCTTCCTCATCTTCGTAGAACGTTATACGGGTAAAGGATCCCTTCTTCCTCATCTTCGTAGAACGTTATGGGTTCCCACCGTACTTTCGGCATTTTTGTATGTCGGCTGCTCTTGATGCCGAGGACTTGAGGATATTGAGCTGTCCTGACGTACTGTTTCCTCAAGCGGTTGGATATGCCTGCTAAGGTTGGTCCTCCGCTAATAGTGCTGATCATGTTGATTTGCTTATTTTCGTTTGGGGCAGGTGCCTGCTGGGGCCTGGCGATGTACTGATCCAATTTGCCTTCCCGAATCAATCGCTCGACGATTTTTAGTAGGCTGATGCAGTCCTCTGTGTTGTGACTGTTGTGTTGGTGGTATAGGTAGAATTTGTCAGTGTCTCGGTTATCCTGCCGATTGGGTTTCCGGTTGATGGGTTTCGGTATCATCTCGCTCTCGTTCATGAGAACAGCCTCGTATGAGGCGTTGAGCATAGTGTAGACTTCTTGCCCTTGGCCATGGTTCGGTAGTGGTACCCGGTGGTCGTTGCGGCCGAATCTCCCCTTTCCTTTCTTGGAGTGTTCCTGTCGAACGCCGCCGTTTGAGTCCTTTCGTTTGTGCCCTGCCTGATACCCGCTGTTTTTCTCGACAGCGTCATACGACTTCTCTGGCACTGAATACTTCTGTGGTACTGGTTCCTCCTGCCGAGCCGAAGGCCCGGCTTTTAAGTTGAAGTATTCGACCTGGGCATGGATCGCTGCTTGTTTCATCAACTCGTCATAGGTACGCCAGTTGCTACTATGTACCAGGTACCGAAAATGTGAGGACCGAAGGCCACTCTTGAAGGCGCCGAAGGCTGCCCTGTCGTCGATTTCTGGGCACCTGGAATACTCATGACTGAAACGAGCAGCGTACACCTGAAGGGGCTCGTCTTCCCACTGTTGGATGGTGTACAAGTCGTCGGTAGAGTACAATTTGTTCGTCTGAATCATGAAATGGTTCAGGAAGATCTGTTTCAGCTCATCAAAGGAATCAATCGTCCCTGGTTCCAAATAGTAGAACTAGTTCAAGGCTGCCTCCGTGAGCGAGGACGAGAACAGCAGGCACTGTCTTTCGTCGCTAAGCCCCTTGCATCCCACGGCAGACTGAAAAGAGTGAAGGTGTGTCAGGGGGTCCTCTATGCCCGTGTAAAACGTTATGCGTAAGGGATGCACGTCTCTTTCTTGTCGTGAGCACTTTATGCGTTCGGTGAACGGTCTTGGTCGAAGCTTTCCCTTGTCTGGTTCCTAAGAACGGGTTCTGTCGTCCCCCATCTTCTGCATCCTCTGAAGGAAGAGGCGAATGACAAGGTCTATGCTTGGGATCTCCTCCGTTGCATGGTGTTCCGAACGTCTAGGGGACCTGATCGGGTTAACCTCAGAGTACCTCGTTGGCGTTGCCGAACAGTAGGTTGATGACTAATTCGTAGAGGGAGCGTACTCATGGTCGGATTCTGCCATTGATTCCAAACCTTGTACCTTTCGTATGGGAGATTTATTCCCCTGAACCCTCAATCGAGAATCATTTAGGCGTGCATCAATCCTGATTGGTGACCTCTGCCGTTCGGCCTCCCGATCCAACAGTCTATGACGACAGTCAGAATAGACCTTCTTCGGTACGTGGGGTTTACCCTTAGGGGCCGGGACCGCCAATTGTTTGGAGGGTGCAGGCGTTGCCTTTGCCCCCTGGTTACCCTTCTTCTGCCGATGGGGAGTCTGTAGACTCTGAGAGGATTGATTGGTCTGAATGTTTTGTGTTTGCTGGTGATTAAGCAATTGTTGTGTTTCATCTACTTTGGACGAGAGAAGATTGTTGTGTTCCTGTAATTTAGCCATGTCCTGCCGAAGAGCCGTGATTTGAGCTAGGAGCTCTGCCTCGACGGTGGTTTGGATTACAGAGGAATTGTCCACTGGTGTACATGGGGGTAGCGTTGGGCTAGCTCCGCCTTACCTACCGAACGGTATTCCTTCCTGCGGTAAGAACGTAGATTTTGATGTGGTCCTCATATGGTAGGGGTAAAGGGTCGATTGTTTATCGTTTCCCACTGACGGTGCCAAACTGTTGATGTGAAAAAGTGGTTCGGCACTCTTGGGCTCAACTTAGTGATGTTGGGCCTTCGGAATGTTTTGGGCCTCGGTAGAGCGTGTGATCTGCAAGATGAGAAACACTCGGTGAGACCTAGGGCACCGGTGTGGTACCGGCCGAAGGCTCTCCGATGTTTAAGTAAGTTCGGGTTTAGTAAATTAAACTGAGAGATCAATAGGCTTGTATGTCATTAGTTCTGATTAACTCCATTTTGGGATAGTTGCCCTCTTTTATAGGCCTTGGGAGGTGTACATATTGTTTAGAATTTCGATGTGGGACTGTAGACGTTGGTTGTGAGCATGGCACGTGTCTTGTTCTCATAGGCTGTGAATTTTGGTATAAACAGTACTAATGTCGCTTTGAAAACAAAGTTCTCTCAACCAAACCAAATACTAATTTTATTAAATTTTTGGATATTAATAATTTGTTAATGTGTTAGTGTGTTCCATCTCACACTTGATATTAGTAATAATTTTGTTTTTATTTATTTATGAGATATTAGTAATTTAGTTCTTAAACTAAAATCCCTCATATTTCATTTATCCCCGTGTTCTATTCTTTTGTTTTGGGTTTTTTTTTTTTTTTTTGTATGGTATTCTTTGAACCATTGTTTAATTCTTCGGTATGAAGTTTCCTTTGATATATGTTAGAAAATTGCTTAATTTATATATATAAAGCAAAAGGCAAAGAATGGTGAAACATTCAAACAATAGGAAAAAAATATGTCCAGATTCGCCACAGATATACGCTAGATTCGCGAGTCCCGCTAGATTCAAACAATAGGAAAAAAATATGTCCAGATTCGCCACAGATATACGCTAGATTCGCGAGTCCCGCTTGAGTGCCACTTGCACCGCTTGAGTCTGAATTTTACCGCTTGAGCACTTGCGCCTAGACGAAAACCTTCCCTCTGCCGCTCGAGCCCCTGCAGCTTCCACTCGAGCCCCAGAGCCCAGTCAATACGTCTTCGACTCGTTTGACTACCCGTTTCCATCAATCCTTCTGCATATTTAAGTGAGCCAACATCAACAAATGGCATGGTCGATTGTGGTGATCGACATGCGCTCATTCGTCAAAGAGCTACAAAACTAGTGGAGCAAGTTAAATCCAACGATTTCGGAAAAGAAAAAAAAAAACCCACTTGTTACATGCCTTCTGGAAGGCCCTAGAGGTTGTGATAAATCTGCACTCTATAGTGAGGGCCTTATCTAAGGCCCTTAAATGGAGCCCTATCTCTATTGGTTTGATCCAACGGTTAAGAGATAGGGCATCATCTAAGGGCCTTAGATAAGGCTGTCACCATAGAATGACTCCACACAATTGATACCATAGGTGTTCGAACCTGTGACCTCTAGTCTGTAAGGTAAGGCCCTTTTCCACTGGGCTAGACCTCATTGGCAAACTATCACTTGTACTAAATATATTTTTTTTAAAGCCAAAACTCGAATTCATATTCATAAGGGTAATTTAGTATGTTTCTAGAACTGCTTAAGTTCCTAGTCACTTAATAATTACTTACTCATCAAGTTAAACCTTCTCTCTTAGGCAGCTCAAACAAGAAAATTTTATAAGTAAAATAGAAATATTTACATTTACACCCCAAAAGATTTTTGGTGTGTTATCACAAAGTCCCTAATTATATTAACAATCCTTGCGGTTTCAAATTGTTTTTGCAAAACTTTTTTCATTAGTTTTCCATCCAAAAATTATTGATATCATAAAAATACTTTCTTCAAATGACAAAAGTAACCTCAAAATTACCTTAGTGGTACCAATGAGGTGTGGCGTATTGGATTTGCTTGAGGGCTGCATGGATGGTATATATTATTTTTTGTGAAATGAAGTGAATTAGTAGCGACCTTGCACTAGGCTAGGCCTTTCCTATCCTTTCTACTTTGATTTTCTCTACTAGGATGTCCTTGACAATGACTTCTACTTTTGATTTTCTGTACTTCGATTTATATATAACGAAGGGTACATATTTGTGCAGACTAAAATACCAATTGTTGAAAAGCAAATCGATTTTGAACTGTCCAATGTAATGAGAACTTGAACTGACCATTGTCATAGTATCATAGAACCAAAATTAAAATAAAAGTTCAAGTAAAAAATAAAATAATGCATTGCGCTGAGAAAATAACTATTCTATCTATCCAACAACAAAAACAAAAACTAATCTATCTATCTATCTAGTACTACTTCACCGAGGGCAAATCGCAACAGCAGGTGGTGGCAGGAAAGATATTATTATCAGGAGGAAGGAGATAGAGTGTAGGCCACGCCTTGGTCAAATCACACACTTTTCGAACCCCTGCCCCCTTCTGTCTATGTCTTTGTCTTGTCAGAAAATTTTGAGATTATAAACCTTCCCAAACAAGCGCCTTAAAAAGGGTTCTTTTGGACAAACAAAAGAACCCCATTAAAAGGAAGGAAATTCAAGCACTACTTAGTATCGAGAAAGAAGAAAAGAAGACATCTTTTCTCTGAGTCTGAGCAATAGAAATCTGGCTTTGAGAGATGACGACAAATGAATTTGAGTTCGTGAATATTAAGGTCCTCTCCTCCTCTCCACCTTCCACCTCTTTATAAGCCTTCCACCACATTTCTATCGTTTTCGTTTTCGTTTTCTGCAATGCATTAAAATGAAGCCTCTTGTTGTACTTTGGTTGTCATCTTTACCATCCATTTATTTTTTGCTTTCACTTTGTTGGTTTATTTTTTTGCTGTGTTTTTACAGACACATTCTCTCAAAGTACACATTAACTGTGAAGGATGCGTGCAGAAAGTAAGAAAACTCCTCAGGAAGATCGAAGGTTCTAATAAGTTCTAACTTTGAGCATGCCCTATTTATGTGTTTTCAATATAGATTTTACCTTTATCTTATTTGTATGACTGTTACAAGCTAACATGTTTTTTGCCCTATTGTTTATATATATGCCAATCTGTTTCTTTTTTTCCCTTTTTTTTTCCTTTTTTGTGACGGTATGATGAACATCAAGAAGCCTTCGTTTGAGTGGCACTTCTGTGTGAATATCTGAGTTTGTGATTCTCTATTCTGTGTATAATGATTTTTCCAACTAAGCCTAGGCCCCACATCAGATCTCAGTTTTTGACATTGTATGTTTCTGTTGGGTAGTGAAATTCAATCAGAAAATATTTCTGCTTTATCATTTATCTCAGCAAATTTCCTTTTGAATCTATCTACTTTAATTATTTATCTACTGCCCTAACTTACTTTTAATGTTGAATTGAATTCAGGTGTCTATAGTGTACACATAGATGCAGAAGAGCAGAAGATCACAGTCACAGGAAATGTAGATTTTGCTACTTTAATCAGAAAGCTGGGCAAAGCTGGTAAACATGCAGAGCCTTGGTCTCCAAGTTCCAACCAAACAAAAGCTCCTATGAATGGCCTCAATTTAGCCTCTGAAAATCAGCTTTTGCTCCCACCTTTCTTTGGCAGTGAAGGCCAACATGGCTGGGGATCTGGTAATTTTGTGGATGGAAATGGAAATTTGATTGGTGCTGCTCATCATGGAAAATTGCAGGGCGATGTTTTTCCCATGATGGGCCGTACGGGTTTTCATGGCAATGCAGAAGAAGGGCTTGAATTTCGTGGCCTGCAAGATTTCTCTGCAGGATTTCCAGCAGTAGGTGAATATGGTAATTCAAGACCTGTGATGTTGACCAACTCAGAAGGGTACCCTCACACTAATTTTGCACCTGCCTTCATGATCCCGCCTAACACTTCTGCGGCTCAGTATAACGCTGAATCAGCAACACCCGCTGGTATCTACTATTAGATAAATGTGTACTGGTCTCTTGTTCTATATATATATATATATATATATGCAGAAGAAACATTATTGGTTTTGGCGTTTAAAAAGGGGCATAAATTAACGTATGGCAGTGGCAGGAAAATATATACATGCTTTAAGGAATGAAATGATACTTGTGGTACTGAAATTCACTCATCGGCCTAAATCTCGACATGTGTCCTTCGAGATTCAGAAACTAACGTGAGGGCCATGGGAAGTTCTTCTGTCTAACATTGGAAAAATCCAAATGGACCAATTCTTCCCTACAAACGGTTGGGTACAACTATGTGTTTATTTCTCTTATCATACAACTATGTGTTTATTTCTCTTATCATACAAATTAGCACGCTACGAGAGTGATAACCCCATTATTACATACAAATGTAAGCCACAAGCATAGGTTGCACTTCATTCTGAATGAAATGATACTTGCAAGACCGAGATTCACTCATCAGACCACAAGAAGTTCTTCCATGGGACAGGGTTTTTATGGGACCTTAGTCCTCACACAATAAGGTCAGTAGTACCACTTGCAGGGAGAATAGCTTTCGTGGAATTGAACAAAGCAAAGAAAGTGAAAAATTATCAAAGCATCTACAACATGAACTCTACCGTTATACCTCTGTACTTTGTTAAGTAACAATTTAATACAGCATCAATAGTATTGTTGCAGACAATTTTTTTCCACATAATGTTGACAAACATACCATATTGTACAAGAAACATAACTTGAGATTTGGTACAGGGTACCAATCGCCTCACCATCATTTCCCAGTTGCCTCTGGACCCTAACTCCTAATTGATTTTTCATCCTGACTTATATCGTATATACAGGTCAGCATGTCACCGAAGAAAACTTACAACAATAGTCCTCAGAGTTTCCAAGTAGGGGGGCGACTATAAAGATCCGGTTACCTGAAGTCTATAGGCAGATCAATTCTCAGGCAAACCTGTCAAGACTACACTTTCTATGGGAGGTGAACTGCATTTGGTATACTGTGTTACACTTGGTCACTTACAAGGTCAATTTCCAAGAACCCTAACAGGCACATAATGACAGCTTAAGTAACATTATTAGTTGAGTCCTGTACTGCAACCTTAAGAACGAATAATTCAATCAAGGGCAATCTGCAGTGAGTTCTGTGGTATTCTGTATACGTACTTCTAAGTTAAGTTGCCCAGACGAAGTGAAGAAACAAAATGGAACCAGAAGAAAATCCATTTGGGGGAACCCTTCCACCTGGCCTGGAAAGTTTTCTGTCACTGATTTTAATCTGAGAGAACTGTTTCCCCGTCCTGATACTAGGTTATATGTGAACCTTTCTTCTGAAGAAATTGGTCTGACTGAAGTTATCATGACTGTGTTTCCAATACTTTCTGTACCCTTGTTGAGGAGAAAGAGAGCGCCATCCTCCTCTGCTTGAAGAACAAGAAATTCTTCGTTTATCCCCAATGAGACAGCTAAAGGGGTGTTGTATCTGAAACGCCTTCCAGAATCCCAATGCTTGCTGCTGAAATGCAGTGACAACTGTTTAGATGAGCTAACAAAGTTGCAGTCTGGAAGGGGGCATGAACATGGTCCATAGATGCATGTTTCTTCATGGTCATTATTCTTCCTGTAATCCACTAATTCATCACACCCATAATCTCTGTTCCGGCAGTGTGTTCTGAGTGATTCAACTACTAGTTCAATCTCACCACACACTACGTCCTTATTCCTAACAAACACTAGCATATTTTCCTGTAGAAACATATTAAACAAAATGATTGTTGACAATGTCATAAGATGATCAGGGACAAAACAGTTAAAGCTTCAAAACTGATGCTATAAAATTTACGACCTATTTATTTACTTGTGCAACCAAGACATCCTAGTGAATAAAATTCTTTTTTTCTTTGTCATTTTCTTTTCTCTTTAGAGCCTATTAGATTAAGATCCTTCAAAGCCTATTTGATGAAGAAACCCAGAATTTACCACTTAGGTTAACAGACATTGCAAATGTTCCAAGAATTTCTGCTGTTACACTTACACTGGGAAGAGATCTCTAACAAGGAAATCACCTTATAGGAAACAACAGACGAGGACAATGGATATAAAATAAATATAAATTTGCAGTATTTCTATTTTTGTTTCCTTTTCTTTTCTTCTCCTCAAACTTTCCATGGCAGGATGATCTTTATTTCTTTACTTCTTTTTTATTTTATTTTTTGCAGTCTGGGTCATCTGCTACTTCACAACTATGTACACGAAATACACAGAAAATATCAGAAAAGCTTAAAAATGACTAACAGAAAAACTCATCATTACCTCCTCCAAAGTAATTTCACCAATCTGTTCTTCAACCTATAAAATATACAAGCATAAGTATTTATGTAACTTTTTTCCTATAATTGATATATATTAAACAGTAACAAAAGAGTAAAAGGGACAGTGCACTGTCTGTGTGTCCCTGTGTGTGTGTTTATCAAATGGTGCAACTGAAAGCGACAAACAAGAAACCTCGTTAAGAGGCACTCCCAAAAACAATATATTAACTTTTCCGGGTTCATAATGTCAAGGAAGATATGTTGGTAAATAATTACAACAGAAAAAAGAGTTGGTTAGAGCTAAACATTTTTCTTCCCAGCTTGAAAATGAATGAAGCATAAATGTAGTTTCTTGTAGTCCATCCATGTGAAAACAACAACCATGTCCCCAAGGGCATTGAATACTGTCTGCCCCGATACAGAAGACAGGACAAAGAATAAATATTTATGCAGAATTTACCAATATGCCACAAGTGAGAAGCCCTATATATATATATATATAACTATATCTAAGAAATCCCATAACAATAGTAGTTGTTGTTGTTATTGCTGTAAGCTTCTGCCTAATGCTAAAATAAAACAATTTACCATAATCCATCCGTCATTACCTGATTCTCCTTATGCTCAACCCCATTACTTATATTGCATGCTGGTGGCCTATCCAATTGAACTATAAACTCGCAAGAATCCAAATCAAAACACCTCTCCTTACATACCACCTGCAAAGGAGCAGCAAGTATGACAACCCCATATATGGCTTAGTATCAAACTTCCCAAATGTAAATGTACCTCCCCACATCCATAACCACCAAGCTCTCTTTCCCGCTTCTCCCTTTCAGTAATCTCGTCCTCGCCCCATGAAGATAGGAATGGAACAACAGCAGGGGCCAAGGCACCGTTTTCCTCAACAGAGATACTTTCATAATAAAAGAGCTGAGAAGATATAAGATTTCAGAAAATAAAGTTTGGTATGTGCCCAATAACTAAGATGAACGCATTTTTAAGAGTATTTTACCTGGAGAAACAGAAGACAGCCACCAACTGCACGTTGCTTCCCTTGACGAAAACGAGATACCTCACAAACTAGCCGGTCGAGTAAGAACTTCCCCCAATTATACTGGTGGACAACATCCATATTCGTCAAAAAGTGAAGGAATGAAGGGCTGACATCCAACCTTGCTGTTGGGGAAAGAAGAGTGCCCAATGCATAGAGGACGAATGATCTCTTAAATTCCTCTCCTGCTTCAGGCTCTGCCAACCTCTCTTCTAGGAGCCTGACTGAAATACCATGATTTGTAGCATCATAACTGTGCCGCAAGTCCACAATCAAGTCATCAGGCCCTGAGTTTACCACATCCTTCCCACTAGCTGCTAATCCCATCACAAGCTCGACATCTTTTGGTGTTAAAGGAATACGTTCTCCACAAATCTCCAAGCTACGTTGTGTAGTGTCAAATCTCTCCAGTAGCCAAAGACACAAGCTGCGGCGGAGAGTTCGGCATCTAAGGTCAAGAAGGCTCCCAAATCCCATGCTCTTCACTGCATCCTTTTGTTCAGTTGTGAGGCGCTGTATCACATTGAATAAGCGGCCAGGAGAGCATCTTGTGACTAGTTTAGCCTGCATTGTCAAAGCTGTAAGATTAGCCCAATCCAATGAACAAATAAACAACTGTCACCAGAAAAATAAATGGTACCTGCTTTCTTGGCTTAGGGGTACGGGTGGGGGCTGTACTCAAGTAGTTATCCCACACTTCACGAGCACGCATTGTGTATTTTGCTTTCTCTTCAAGGCTCATAGACTTCCATGCATCTGAAGCTGCCTTCGTGGCCTGAAATGAAAAGGTCACAATGCCTTATTATGTTTTAATTTTATTATCAAAGTAAATTACACACTGCTAAACATTTTGTGAGTGAACAGAAATAGGCTCACAGCTTTAAGGCCAGAGGATTCAGGATGCGAAGCGCTGTATTCCTTGATAAAGTCTCGGCTAAATAGTTGATTTCAACATTAGCAAGCCAGTACACAAGGAGAAAGAGGCATATGCTAATACAGAATGAATTCAAGTGAAAGAAATTGATTGTTACCTAAAATACACCCATGAGCACGCAGGACGAGGAGTGGTAACTTGCTTCTTCTTCCTCCTTTTCCTCTTTCCTTCTAACACAACATTCTCTTCAGCATTTCTTTTTACCAACATGACATCTCCTTCACTTGACACCTAGAGGTTTGTATTTAGAAAATAAGTATAAAACCAAACTGAAACAAATAGGCAAACAAATTTGAATTTCTGAAATATATGTAACTTAAAAAAAAAGGTATAGAAGTAAATGTGTTTCTTATATAAGCAAACCAATTCAGTAAGGACAACTATCATGATTCATTCACTTTCCCAAAAAACTTTGGATGTACCTATGGAAAAAATGACTTAATCAGCATAGATGATTGTAAAACCCAGGCTTATATTTTCAAAAGGGAAACTGTATGCATGTATGTCTCTATGTGTTTAAAGTTTTTGATTATCTGGGATATTAATTATACTTCCAGATGACTTCAGTTATGATGATGCCTGCAAGGACTCGCCACATTTTTATACACAGTACTAGCAGAAAGATTCAAAAACATCGTAAATAATGTGATATAGGCAGTTTTTACAAATCTTAAGCTATGTATATTGAATTTCCAGTATAAAAAATGTTCCTATGCCATTTATCCCTTACTCTCTGCTCCACCTCCAAAACAACATGTTTCCATATGCAGCAGCTCTACTGTGTATAATTTTGGAAGCAAGACACAGAGCAAGGAACTAGGACCAACCCCTTCCCCAGCACCACCACAGCATTGCTTAAAATGACAAACCTATTTTGTTCCAACATCTATCAACCCACTGTTTACTGAGTGGAACAAATGTCTTTTTATTCGGAGCATCATGATTCATCAAGTAGCTGTAATGTTCTTTAACATTTAATGTGAGGCTACTGTTTAGTTAGATCAGTAGAAGTTGTGAAAGTGTCTTCCCTTTGTTTCCCTAAAGAAGTCAGAAGTCTTAGATTTGCTCCACAAAAGAATGCTTAAAAGCAAAGTTAGTAGAACAGCAAGAGGTACAAAAACCCAATTGCTCAAGAATTACCCACAATAATGTAATTGGGTTCCAACTTCCAAGTATTCTTATTTATCTTTTGGCTAAAACTAACAACCTAATGCAATTCAATTCACATATCAAACAATCCAAACACATTCACAGTGTATGCCTAAAAAAGGTTTACCAAAATGCTTTTCTGGGTTCTCATGCAATTACAACTCTACCAATACCACACTATCTTAATTATAGGAAAAACCAGTTATGAAGCTAACAACATCATACACCATTTATAATAGAATTGTGCAAAGTGTGAGAAGCCAAACCATTTTCGGAGAACTGGAGCCTGTGGTTGAAATCAAGTAGAGAGAACTGGAAATGCGAATTAAGAAGAGCTAGGGTTTCAAGAGAGCGATGAGGGCTTGCTGAATGCCAGTGAGAATCGGAGGAGGAGGAAACGAAATGATTTCTGTTTGCTATGGAGTTTCGTTTTCCTTTCGCATTTCTCAGCTGCAAAGTCTAGCTTTTTTGGGTCCTATGTGGTAAGCTGCACCGCTCTTCTTGAACTTTATTTTTCAGCTAATTAGACTTTCCACCCGCATAGTTCTGGGCACCACAGTTCATGTTGAGTGCCTGCATCTGGGTTAATGAATCATATGCCTGCATCTGGGTAAACACCAGTTCAACTTCTACCTTCACAGCAACTACAAACCATTTAAAGTTCATAACAAAGAGCCATACCCATTTCAGATTTGGACCCCTATGCCCTCCACAACCATTGAAACCGATTATGTTCTTGCATCAAATCCCAACTCAGTTCTTTGCTTGGCTGACCATCAGCCGCGAATCTGATGAGAGAGAGAAAGAGAAGGGGTGGAGGGAGGTGGATTGGCACAGTGGGTTGACAAGTTGGAAGGAAGAGGGCGAGAGAGTTTTAAATTTTTTTTAAAAAAAGTTTTAATCTTATCTCTTTTTGAATTTAATTTTCTTTTTAAATATATTTATATTTTATTCAAAGCCACCTGGCTATATATTATTGGATGTGTGACCTACATATATGCTATGTCAGCTTCTTAACAGAAAATTTAACAGAAGTTGACGGTATGGACTATTTTGATGTGTTGAGTATAACCTTAAGGACCATTAATGTCACAAAAAAACGTTAAGGACGAAAGACGATAATTTCGCAAACCTTAGGGACCATTTGTGATAAAAAGCCTTTTTAGAAAAATCTAATATGGTACCCACGTAACTGAAAAATGAGTCCAAGAAGTGTCGTGCTCAACAAAAAAATGGTTAACTTGATAGTTTAATATGCGGATTGGAGGGTTAATAATATGGAACATTCTTCAATAAGTATTTAAGTTAGGATTGGTTACATACTTCTAATCTCGGTCGTTGAATTGCATCTAAGAGACTACCAACACATTTAATGAATGCAATCCAACCACCAAGATTAGAAGTATATAATCAATCCTTAATATAAAATACTTATTGGAGAATCTCCTGAATGATATAACAATTTGTAATTTTAAGGGTTGTTTTTGTCAATTTTAGAAGATATGGGTCAAACTGTTACATGCCCCAAACCCCAAAGTAGTAACTCCACATGTTTTTTTAGGGAAACGAAATTTATGTTTCGTTAGATGCTTTTGGAAACCATATACTTTTCCAATACCCATTTCATGTATAATTTGTAAGTAAACATTTTGTATATATTACTTGAAGATGGTTGCATTTTGTATCATTTAACCGAGCATGTTTAACCCACCGTCTCCTCTCACCTCTCTTAGGAAAAGATTATTCAGTGAAAATAATTCATCACATGCTATAATATTAATGCGGTGTATAGAATCAAATCCAAATTAGAACACGCGTACTAAATCTTTGGTTTAGTATTTTCAATTTGGAGATCACATAAATGGGAAACAGGATGTCCTAGATATCTTAATGATTTGTCTCATTTTTTTCGGGGATGATGCTCAAATGAAAATTTAAAAAATAGATGATTCGGATCATTCAAGTACATATCTAATTTCGTCTAACACACTGCTAGGTAGCTCTAATAACAAAAATTACCGAAGAACAATATAGCTCAATAGCTTCTTTTAATCAAAACCTGATGCTGTACACCAGATGTACTAAATAAACAGTAAACGACTTAAAAACAATAATAAAATAAAATGTACAATCCAGGAGCTGACAGGACGCTGCATAAAAGACAACACATGTTACAAGTTCTTATTTATAATTTAGATTCTATAACGTAAACGTGGATTAAGCTAGTTGGTCATGGCAGAATATGAGGCCCAACTTTTCTTCGAGTAGTGTGGGTTAAATCATTTCAATGAAGAGGCTAAACTATCTAGGTTTAAAATGTAGTTCGTTGGGTCATGTGTAACCCAGTAAAGCTGATAGATGCAAGTTGGCAACTAATGGTTCTCTGCTAACTTGATGAACAAAGAATATTACCTTCCCAGTTCAGCTGTTTCTAATCACAACAAATTAAAACAGAAGCAGAGGCAAGGAATAAAATGGCATAGAACCAGAGATTCAGCACTTTACTTGGTAAGCTTCATGTAGAAACATAACACAAATGTTAATACCTTCAAAATAAGATAAACAGAACTTGTTCTTAACCATTTTAATTTACCTTCAATCTTACGACAAAAATGACACTGAATGAATTTAGATGCAATCCTAATTACCAGTAGCAAATAACAATGCTTTACTTTGTCTGAAATCCTACTTTCTTTTTATCCTTTTAACATAAGACACGATTTGGAATTCCACCTTCAACACTAAACACTAACTTTTCCCGTGTCGTTATTTCTTATCACGCAACAAAAGTATATACAGAAAAGATGGGTGCAGTAAAGCTACAACTCAGCATAAGTGCCCATTTTACCAAGAGGTATAACATATGGGCATTATACTGGTGTGTGGTTTGTGTGTGTGCAGTAAAATAACAAGATGTGAAGTCCACAACAAGAAAAGAAAAAGGCATCTTTTGTGACATTTATAAATATGTAAAACACCAGATCCTTTCCAGCACAATGCCATTCCTTTGATAGTACAACTTATTTTAAGCAACACCAATACTTTGAAAGGATGCTGGGCATCGACCATTATGCCATATGCAGAGATCCATGTTGAGCTTGCCAGAACTGAAAAAATCAGTAGGGATTATAAAGTAACCTGTTGAAGATGGGCTAATAACCTGGCCTGCAGAGTTCTTTGTGAAGGACTGGAATCTGAGAGAACTTCCGTTGGTTTTAGCAAGAAGATCATAGTAGAAGCCTCCCTTGAAGGTGGGTTGAATACAACGAAGCGACACTAAATTTCCAAGTTTTTCAGCATGATTGTCAAGGATAAATAATACACCTCCTCTCTTTTCTTGGAGAACAAGAAATTTGTCCTTAATATTTAAGGTGATGGAAAAATTGATGCCATACTGGAAGCGTGTTGCATAATCCACATGACTAACGGTGAAGTGTAGGTATAACTGCTTGCTTGAAGAGATAAAGTTGCAGCCTGAAAGGGGGCATGAACAAGGTGAATACATACATGCCTTTTCATGTTCATTTTTTTTATTGTAAGTTACCATTTCTTTGCAGCCATGCTTGATGTTTTGGCATGAAATTCTAATTGATTCCAGAATCTTCTCAATGGCCCGACAACGATTATAGCCAATGGGCATGGAACAGGAGGGGCATTTATTTTTACTCTTGGTGCAGCAAGAGGAGCAAGCTATATGCCCATTTTCACACTGAATTTCCAAGAAAGCATGCAAAAGTTAGCAGGTAAAATGAATAAACTTAAGACATGAATGAAGAGCTTGGATAGCAGGATAGAAACAGATAATGCAGATCTTGAGGATATACCTAGACTCTTTGGTTCAATTTCATAGAAGCAATGTAGCAGACTGTTTTAAGAATGGTTCAGATCATAAATATCAAAGATCACTAACCCTATGATACTTATATTATTAAGGTTATGGCTCTTGCACTTAAAAAGATTATTAAAGAAAAATAAAACAAGAAACTTTAGAAGCGAACATCCTGTATAATTTTAAAAATAAAATAATAAATGTTGCCATAATGTTGAAAGAAGAAAACTCCAATTTGTAGGCAATACTAGGCTAAAATGTTGTGATAATTGTTTGCCATGTTTGATAACTGAAAACTTCACCCCAGAAAATGCAGATAAAAAAACAAATATGACTAATTATATATGATACTGATGCTTCTCAATCTAAGCTGCCGAGAGACAAAGCAAACCAATATAAGGATTTTCTTGAGCTTAAAAGTCAAACTCAACAAGCTAAAGAACCAAAGAACTCCATAGTTTGTAATCTTCATATATCTTGCGTAACTGTCTTCACACTTGGCAACAATTAACATGCCTAGAATTATAAAACAAAAGACTCGAGTTTGACTAGGAGATTTCCAACACTGAGAAAAACATAAACCACACAGGCACACATGAATGTGAAACTTTATTTGGGAAATGCTCCATGCGTGAAGGACCACGGCGTTGTCAATTGTGGTGTACAAGAGTTTGTGTAGGCTTATGACTTAGACGAGAGACCAATAGGCCCTATTTCTAACTAAAAGGCAAATGAAAAGAGGGAATAAACTTTTGAATTATACTAAACCCTAAGAGTTGGGGTGAAAAATCTAAAAATCAGCTTTCGAACCGTGAGTTTCAAAGTAGGGCCTGATTAAACAAGATTGTGCCTAAATGCACGGGAGAGGGAGGTTATGCACCCTCTCAACTCTCTCAATTTATTTTCTGTTGAACAAAATCATCTATTCTTCCTTAATAAATCTTTTAACAATTTCTCTTAAAATGTAAGCTCTCTCTCTCTCTCTCTCTCACACACACACACACACATCTTTCAAATCTGTCCCTCTCTTACTCTGAATCTGACCAGACCTTTAAATGGCCAGTGCTTGCTTCTTTTTCTTTTATTTTATCTGTTGTAAGAAACAAAATTTCTTGAAGGAAAAGAAAGAATCCCCCCAAAAAAAAAAAAAAAAGTTTGAGCAAACATAACAAACATGGTAGTCAATGTTAAATTTCTTTGTTGGAGACCAAATGAAAATATTTGGTCTTGGGTAAACAATCTAACCTAAATATCCGTTTATTGGTAGATCTAAATTCTAATAATCATATAAAAATAACCGCTAAGATTGCTAGAATCCAACAACAACAAAATTCAGATGCATCAACTACAAAAGACTTCTAACAATGTAAGAAGCATTTTGCAATTGTCTTAAAACTCGCATTAGCTATTTTGGAAGATGTCAGGGAAATTCCCTGAAATCTCCTTCCATGTACAATTTCTGTAACAATCAGATAAAGTCAAATGTTTCAAAGTTCTCGAATGCCAAAGGCATGTAGCAGTGACAATGGATTCATGTCGTGCCCTGTGATTTTGTTTTTGTGTCAAATCCCAGTCAGCCTAAACCCGACCTGTTTACTTAATTGTGTCACATTTAAACCAAGTTGCCCTTATTTTTAACCAAACCTATCCCTTATATACTCATAACTTATAAATTAACTTGAATCATGAGACCAGGAAAACCCTGCAAATAATCATAAAATTCTATAACGAGTCCTACAATACAATATCAAGAAATGGATTATAAAAATAAATAAGATAAAATAAAAACAAGTCATTTCTGATAAATAAATAAAAAACTAGCCATAAATTCTTTCGTACAAATTAGAAAAGCCACCTATGTTTATTGTTTACTGATATGGTGGGGCAGTGTTGCAACATTCATAACTAAAAGAGAATTTGGATGCCACTACCAGTTAAGCGTCTTTCCACTAAGGTATTTGGGTCTTCCCTTGGGTGGTAATCCTTGTCCCTTATCATTTTTGGATCCCATAGTAGAAGAAGTTGGGGTCTTGTAAAGTACACTTTGATGGGTGGGATTCTCGAGTTGTTGCCAGCACATTCTGATGTCCTTGGAAGTACATCTCTCAGGGGTATCGTTCTTTCTCTCCTCTTGTAAAGTTTGTGGTAGGTAGAGGGGTTAGGGTAAGACTTTGAGAAGATATTTGGATGGGAGAATCATCTTCCAATCGTTAATTTCCCAACTTACACCATGCCTCTTTAATGGATTATGTCTCTTTGCACTCCAGTGGTGAGTTGACAAAAGATCATGGCTTGTTCATCCTTCAGGTAATTTTTCATGCAAATCATTCTTCCTTCAATTGGTCGTCCATCAATTGGATCCTCCTTTTGAACCATTCAAGTTTATTTGGAAGGCTGATGTTACAACCAATGCAAGTTTTCGTGTGGCTGGTGGTTCATAAACAGTTGTGAAATGCTCCAGGGAAGAAGGCCTTATACATGTTTTTCTCCGCAGTGTGCTTGCTGTGTAAAAATGAGGAGTTTGTGGATCATATTTTTCTACACTGCACCTTTGCTACACAGATTTTAATTTGCCTGCTACAAGTGTTTGGTTTGGAGCGGGTGTATCCTAGGAGCAGTATCTTGCTGTTATCAGGAGAATTCTTGACAGTTGGGGCAAACAAGAAATGTGCCACAAACCTAACTAATCCCATTTCCACAATCCCACAAACCTAACATAACCAAGCCAAGCTAATCCACACTACCCTTCTCTGATCCCACTCCCTAGTCCACACTCTATTTCAAGAATTTCCTTATATGGCCACAAGCACTAACCTCAGAACAATAAGAATCTACAGATCCACAATCACAATCCTAAATCAAATTCAACCAGGATTGAATCCTTGAATATTCTAGCAAACAAATGCGGGAAATTTTATCAAAGCAAACAAATTAACCATCATATAAGACCACAGATAACCGTAGAATTTCAACGCAGACCCAACAATCGAAACGAAAATGGCTATTCAAATTTGGGACGAGGGCTTACCTGGAAGACAGGGATGGTCAAGGGTTCATAGCAAATGAGGCAATCAAGAACTTCTGGGTCGGCTAAGGTGAAGACAAGCGACCCATCGGTGACGGGTGAGATCGGAGGAGGATCGCCCTCTTGGACTCCGGCGTTGGATGTAAGGCTGGCCGAAGCAGAACCCACTTGGGGGTTGGCTTGTGCTGTGCGGTTCTGACCAAACAAACGAACAAGCAACCCATCGGTGACGTGTGAGATCGGAGGAGGACCGCCCTCTTGGACTCCGGCGTTGGATGTAAGGCTGGCCGAAGCAGAACCCACTTGGGGGTTGGCTTGTGCTGTGCGGTTCTGACCAAGCAAACGAACGGGTCTGTTAAATCTGTCGATAGTCCGCGGCACCCGTATGTGGTAGGAATTTCCGACTTGCTGTTCGAAGCCAACGGTGATTTCTTCTTCTCCTTCCTCGTCTTCTTCTTCATCTTCATCTTCTTCTTCACTCTCTTCGTCTGCTTCTACTTCGCTTTCACTCTCCTCTTCTTCTCCTTCGGATTCTTCATCTGCTTCTTCATCTTCCTCAACAGTCCGTAGCTGCTGCGATTGTGGTTGCGGTGGCTGTGGTGGTTGTTGTTCGATTATGGCGATGCGGGCTGCGGGATATTGAGGAAGGAGATTAGGAGCGAGACGAGGCTTCTTGGGCCTGGGAATACGGGATCCTTCGCCTTCTCCATCTTCATCTCCACCTAACGCGAATCTCGCCATTTCTCTCTCTCTCCCTCTCTTTCTCTCTCAGTCTCCCAATAATAAAATAACCATTTTGTTTTATTTACAGCCTTCTCAGAACCAAAAGTATTAAACTAGCCTCTCAGCAACCACGCGGGAGACCACGTGTTCCAAAGTTTGGGCAGTTGCCTATCAAAAGTTTTTCATATTTATCTTTTATTTAAGGGAAATTTATTATTATACCCAATTAACTTTTTCGCACGCACTTCCATATCTGGGAGAGGCATTTTAAAATATATATATATATTTTAGAATTAAAAAAGATAATGGGTAGTTGTGTTCCATAAAAATAGAATCCATTATCTGATTTTTCTTTTAATTTAAATTTTTTAAATATGAAAAAATTTGAATTTATCATATTATCCTCATTTAATTAATAATTTCAATTCTTAATGTTTGCATTAACCAAGGGCATTTTCTAGTATTTTGAATGTTTTACCATTCTCTACCTTTTGCTTTAGAGATTTTCTATTTAAACCACACACTTCCCTTAGTTCACCCCATGTTCTAAGTTCACCCCAACTTTTAATTTAAATTTTCACAATTTCTAAGTAAACCCCACTATCTTCCCAAACTACCCTTAAATACACCCCAAGCTGAAAAAATAAGAAATAAAAGAGATTTTATATTTAAACCCCACAAGCTACCTTTAGAGGAGGAAATACGTTCTGGGCATGAGAAATAGTAAGTATTAAATTAATTTTTTGATGATATTTCAGAGTCTTATTCATTGTCTGTTTTCAAGTGCATAATAAACATGCAAGTGATCAAGAATATAAGAGCTATGGCAGCTTTGGGTTTGCTGGATCACTAGATATTAATCATAGCAATGGGACAAAAGGGATGAATAATGATTTTGAAAAATATACTGGTAACTTAGGTGAGACCGCATCTGATCAGTCTATTGCTCTATGACAACAAGCAAGTCAATATTTTGATAGCAATACAGGTCATTCCAGTTATCATGGAAGGAATGAATTTCAGTTCAAAGAACATAATATATCTTTGATGGATTATGTAAGTAACTCCGGTTCTTCTCATCCTTCTGTTACAAAAATCTCACCTCAGAACTCTGTTAGCGCATTGCCATCTAGAATTGGTGGGGTTTTCAAACATGGAAACACTATGTACTGAAGCTTTAGGCATTTACTTTGGGTTGATTCATTGTTTCACTTCATCTAGCTCAATTTTAACATCGAAACAAAAGTGTACTTATATTTTATAGGAGATAAACAGGGAAGAAGGTGTAACCTGATAATACTTTATAAAAGTTTACAAAACCAAGTAAGTCGGATGAAAATAAAACTATTGTGACAAAACATCTAATAGTAAGGGATCAATATACATCAAGATGTACATCAAATGAACCAGTAAGCTCTTTCCAATTGTCAATGCAATCTCAATATGGACTATACCAATCATATGCTTTGAGGTTGGAAATATCAACCCAACAATTGATAACAGGAGGCATAGGATGGTGTGGTTGCAAGCGTAGCTGTCAAAATAAAATAAAGTTGTCAAATGATATAGTTAAAACAACAAACAAATTTCACAAGGAAAAACTGGCAGCTATAAATATAAAAAATTTATTATAATACCTGCACAAAGTGTTTTTCAACCAATCCGATGGAAATTTCCCGACGTTGATATTCAGGCAAAGGATGACTTTCCATTGGTAGAAACATAAGAGATATGGCATTTGAAAAATGCATCAAGACCACGTTGTAACAATTTGCAATAAGGTAACCCATTTCTGGTATGAGCATCCATCTATCTTCTAAAGGGTAATCATCAAAATAATCCAAGCGATACTCAACCTCACACTTACTTTCAACACTTTGAAAGATAAATTCATAAAGAAATTCATTATTTTTCAACTCATTCAGTTACTCCCTCCTTACTTTACGCCAAGAATTCTCCCAGTAACCTAGCAACCCACCAATGGCTCTAAAGCCACAGTTGCCATCAGATTTTACATCTTTGGCCCCCATAATAAATGGCCTTATAGCAGCTGGAAGTTTGTCATTATATTGTTGTGTCAAGTCTTCGGGATTGACAATTTGTTGCTTATGCACCTGAATTAAAAAAAAAGTATAAGTATTATGGTGATGAAATTTTGATGCGTTAATCAAAATAATATAAGTACATACTGGGAGTTTTGGTGGTCGCTTCTAAGGCAGTGTAGTTTTAATATTTACAATTGCGAGTGTTGATGATTGAGTATCATGGTTCACCTACAAAGTAAAGAAACATAAGGAGCAACAAGTATTTGTAACATAAAAGTTATATGAAGTACTTACTGTTAATGGGGGTGTTTGTTTCTTTCACTTTTTTGGTGGAGGTTTCGTATAGACTACACCGTCGGACAATGTTCGAGAATTCCTATTACAATCAGATTCGACAAGCTCAAAGGTTGAAGGCAATCTACGAGTAGACTCTTCAAAATTACTCGAACGCCCTTTTGTCTTGATCTTCACTTGTGGTTCTCTAAGTGTTGAAGATTTTGGATCCATAATCTCTTGTAATTTCATACCAATGTGTCTCTTGGTGTCAAGATCATTACTTTTAAACCAGTTGGCAAATACGTCAATCTTAGCATCTTCAAGAGAATCTAAGTTGTCATTAATTTGTGTGGCAGGAAACATATCTAATTTCCTTCAGTGAGGATGAACACAATGAAGAGGAATGGGTCGGAATACTCGACTTAGCTCAGCCATCTCATGAGCACATGGTAACCCGTGGCTACTTCTAATAACGCAGCCGCATGCAATGGGATCAGTCCCGACATATTGTATTCTCTTTGACTCACACAAAATTTCCTCTAAGGCAACAATAGACACATACCCTATCAAGTCTGTAAGTAGGCTCACCTTGTTGAATTCATACTGGACAAATGATTGACTATTCTCAAATGAAGCCTTTATCTCAGTGTGTTGTAATACTAACATGGCATGAATCTTGGCCCACGATGTTTCGAAGTTGCATTGGCTTGTGCCAAGTTGTCGCTTCAGTTGTGAATGTGCACTTTCTGCCCTATTTATAAACATTAAAACAAGAGATTTAGTATAAGTTAGGAATAATCAAAGAAATATATAGATGATATGGATTATTATTAAATAGTCGACGTACCTATTCAATGTGGTGTTGCCAAAATGCATGCAAGTGTTTGTCCATACAGCCACAAACCTATCCTTATACTCTTTTAACCAATTAACCTTCACATAATCAAGCGCCTTACTATACTTTCCTTCAAATATCCTATCCATCTCAAGTAGATTTCTTTCATAATCAACCTCAGTTTTTGCTAAGACCAACATATTCCATAACATTATAAATTGTTCCCATTTGTCACCTTTTTTAAGTATGCCCTTGCAAGCCTTCATCACACACCTGCTGATATGCCATCTACATCATAAATGTCGGATACTAGGGAACACATTGCGAATGGCATTCATAAGTGTCATTTCCCTATCAATGACAATCACACCTGGAAGACAATTTGTATTCATGATGCTTTTCAATCTATTCAAAGCCCACATAAGAAATATAAGCAAATGCAGCTGAGAATGTTAGTTTCGTCGATGTTACCCCCACATTTTGTAATAATGGGTATCGAAACCTGTTTGTCTTATATGTGCAATCCATTACTAATACATGAGGAAATGCGTGCAATAAGTTTACACTATCAGGGTGAGCCCCAAAAAGATCGCTCACATAATTTGTGTCATCAGTCCTATGCCAATTAATATATTTGTGATCAAATAGTCTACATAGCAATAGTTGCATCTCAGATCTACTAGCTTTCTCAACCACTCTGCTTTTGTGTCTATCATTGTAGATTGTCTTCATTGTTGTTACATTTTTGCCATCTCGTCGTTTAATGGTGTACAATATATCTTTTGCCCTAAACCCTTTGAGGTTGGGCTTGGGGAGCATGAGTTTGAGCTTGGGGAGCTGGAGCTTGGGCTTCATGAGCTGGAGTTTATATATATATTTTATAAACTTTTTTTTTCTTCAGTTTTTCATTTTTTTATAAAATTTATACATTGTTGTTTAACCCACGTTAGCAATTTAATAGAAATTTTTTACTGAACCTGTCAGCATGATCAAATTGATGTGTGAGGTGTAACATAAATGACCAATAATGTCATAAAAAAATACATAAAGGATCAAAGGTGATAATTTGACAAACTTGAAGGACCATTTATGATCAAATATAAATTTAGTTTTTACAAACCTATTTTTGAAAACATAGAATTGTTTATTATAGGTTTTGTCCATGTGGAATCCACGTCATTAAAAAATGGGACTCATGTTTGCCATATCAGCATTTAACAAACCCACTAACAGTCTGACGAACAGAAGGGGTAAATTGTAGGTTTTTTGTGAGTTTGAGTATGTAATTGTAAATGTCTTTAAAAGTAGGTATGAAGTTGAAAATTACCCTATAGTTTGGGGGTCTTTTGTAGTTTGTCCAAAAAGAACTACGTAATTATTGAGGAAAAGAGGGTCATTTTTCAAAGTTTTTCCTTTAGAAATGGCTAAAAAAGGGTTTTCATGTAAATTCGAGGGGCTGAGAAACGGTAAACCCTTCAAAAACCATTTACTTACTTTTGGTCGAACCCTTCAAAAAGCTAAACCCTACTCAAAATATAAAGACTCGATTGAAGGGTTTAGCAGTTTAGGCTTACTCTTCCCCTCAGTGTGCTGTTTGCCAGTTTTCTGATGGCGAAGCGTTTGGTTCCACTGTTGAATCGTGTTCTTGTTGAGAGAATTGTTCCTCCATCCAAAACCACTACAGGAATCTTACTCCCTGAGAAGTCCGCCAAGGTATGCTTGCATTTTACTCACCCCCTCCTTTCTCATTATTGTGTTTGTTTCCTGAGAAACTCGAGGATAATGACATAAAATGAAAATTAGAGTAGTCTGTGGTTTCTGGGATGTGGATCCTCTTTGGAACAGAATTGGGTCGCTGGTGTTTGACTGATACCGGGCTATGGCTGTGGGTTGTTTTCTTGGACTTTAAAGCAGTGGAATGTTAGTTAGTATAGGCTTTTGATTTTTTGCTCTCTCTCACATTTTAATCTTTTTTTAATTACTTTTATGATAGCAAAGCAAGGGTCTTGTTTTAAATCCACATCGAAACATATATTTCTTAACTGGGGTTTTCCTTAATTAATTTATTTCTCTCTTATACAGAAATTTGGTTGAAAGTAACATGAACTTAGGCCTTTTATTTTATGCAATATGAATGTGGCTTTGCTGTAATGAATTCCAGTCTGTCTCAATTAGAAGAGTCCAAAAATGAGATTTTGGAAGTATAATTTTTCTCCTCAAGGAGAACTAATAACTGGCATGCATGGATTGAAATGTATGTTGTTTTTGCAAAATTGAAAATTTCCTGCTTTACACTTTAGCTGAACTCTGGAAAAGTTGTTGCCGTGGGTCCTGGGACTCGTGATAAGGAGGGCAGCTTTATCCCCGCCACTGTAAAAGAAGGAGACACTGTTCTGTTACCAGAGTATGGAGGAACTGAAGTGAAGCTTGGCGATAAAGAGTACGTATATATTTTTCACAGGGCCTTATTGCTTAAGCTTCTTGACATACATTTTCTTTGTCTAAAATCTAGATGTAAATTTTCAAGTAAAGCACTACTAAGTTAGCAGATGTGTGTGTCTATGCATATTCACGTATCTACTTACAGATGTGTTTAGTATACATGATGCATTGAGTGCATTTGTGCATGAAAATATAAGAAAACTACAGAGACACATGATCCATACATGAGTTTGACTGTAGTCTCTGTGATATGGGGTGGAGTCAAGGTACCTCAGCATTTTTCTGTAAATTCAGCCTAAGTGCTTCAGTTGACTATTAGCATAAACTGCCTAGGGTATGTAATTTGAAGTAGTGGTTAAGTAGATAATTTAGCTTATAAGGATTATAATTAACTTGTTGAAAAGATTCCTGTCATGATGCAAATAGTTTTATTGGCACTATATCGAACCAATGCTAATTTGCTAACCTTAATTCAATCTAGATATATTGAAAGCTGAAACTTGGATTTGCAAGCTCTTCATTGAAGCATGGGGGCTTTTATTTTACATATTGTTTTTAACATTTGTAGATAAAATATTCGTAAGGGCAGAACTTTGTACCCTAAAGGAAAACCAGATCTTTGATTTTGTGCTGATGAATTCCCTTCCATAAATGTTAGCCAAACAATGAGGGTGGCCTTCTTTTCATTCGATGGTTTTCAGTTATACAAATCTGTTGTGCATAAGTGTGGATACTGATAAATACTTATGTATTTGTCGTCACATGTATCTACATATTGACATGTCTCTGTGTTCTTGTACGCATGATTGCCCATTTAGTTTTTTAATGTATGTCTTACATGTATATATCAATATGCATGTATCTATCTATATACACAAATAGCCTTAGGCTCCTCAAGCATGTTAGTTGGGTCATTGATTAGGATTACAATTCAGTGAATTCACTCAAGTAGGCATCTTTCTTATTTCATGGGAAATGCCCCCCATTCTCCCTCTCGCTCAATTAGGCATCTTTCTTAGCTTGTGTTTTGGCTTCATAGTTCTCGTATGAGCTCAAGCTCAATTCTAGCTCACAGAAGGATGTCAGCTTGAGTTGAGAAATTTTAAGTAATTTTAGCTGTGTTTGAGCTATGGCACTCAGGCATTGTTTGGGATGTTTCAGGCAACTTAGAGCTTAAATTCGACTCGATTTGATTAATATACACAAATCAAGCTTGATCTTGTTTTGGACTTGACTATTTAGCCATAATGTTTTAAAGGTGTTGAATTTTACTTAAATGGAAAATGCACATTGTACCCAAAAGAACAAAAGAACAAGTTGAAACTGCAGGTAAAACATGACAACTCTTTATAATCACCTCAAGGTCTCAGGTGTGAGTTAGAATAAGGCACCAGCCCCCACATGGTATTCTTAGGATGTCTTACCTCAAGTAATATTTGGTGTGCCTTTTCTCAAAGTTATTGTGCATAGGCTTTGGAATGCTTTCAAAGTGATGCCTGATATTTTTCCAATTGATGCTCATGAAACTATTTTTGCCATTGTAGGTACTACCTATATCGTGATGAGGACATATTGGGAACACTGCACGACTGATTATCAATGGAGTTAAATTTGTCCATGAGTTATCCTGGAGGATTTGAGTTTCATAGCATTTATTTGAGTCGGCCCTTTGTTGATGCCCTACCGTCAGTGCTGCTTATAAATTAGATTAGATGAAAGAAACATGTAAAACTGTTCTGTTATCGGGCAAATAATTTTAATGCAACTAAAACGTCTTTGGTTTGTGTTGGAGTATTACATAAACTCTTTTGAGCACATTGAAGAAGTTTGTTAGAAGCACCATTTTTATTTTATTTTATGGCAGAGCAGTGGCTTTCCTCCCAGACATTAACTAAATAGTAGCGATATCTCCAGCTGTGACAAAAGGAGCTTCATGAGCTACTAAACTGCTCTTATGGTACCTAGAGAAACATTCCCATATACTTGGGCCCCCCCCCCCAATCTTAGGAGGACTTCCCTATACAAGATAATAAAGGAGAACACTGCAATGCATTTCTACCATCTTAGCAGCCTAAGAGATTTAATTTACAAACATAATTTAAATTACTCAAGTCTTGAGCTCTCAATGAATTCTATGATCCATCGAACATGTCTTTTTACTTTTCGTCTAAAGAGATGCAGCTGGTATGGCATAGGCATACCCAATCTACATATTCCTGTTAAAAAAAGGTCGGATGAATAAATTGCAGCCGCATCCAAATACTTTGTTCCAAATGCGATCAGACACATTGAAAATTCAAAGGCAGTAAAAAAGTGAATAAAATATATGCTAATAAACATTACAATCCATCAGTTTTTGTCCTCCGAGACCATGTCCCTTGATATTAGATACATCATAAAAAGTAGTGCAATCTACATAATTTACAATACATTTTAATTGGTCAATCTCCTATCAAATTGTTAGATCTACTCAAGCATGTCAGCCAAATTGGAGAAGAGACCCTCACATGGGATCTCTGCTGTACCAGATGGTGGTCTAGATGTACACAATTACCAAGCTTTCAATCAATATTTCAGCCTAGCAGCAAGAGTGAGACAAGTTTGCATCATTTTGTACCTACTACTTCCGAGGAGCATTTTTCCATGGAGAATCACATTAATGCTAGCTATGTTATGTACTTACTACTTCGCTACGTAAGGTCTTTATATAATGCCTCTTTTCGTTCCACTAGATAGAATTTACTGAGTCACCACCTTCACTGCTTTCAGTATCACTGCTGCTACTCGCGCTCTCGCTTTCACTTCCACTGCCACTTCCACTGCCGCTTTCACTCCCACTACTCTCACTCCCACTACTATCACTAGAGCTTGAAGTCTGCTTCTCTCCCACCTCAGCATTCACCTGAGCTCTAAGGGCTTCTGCAGCATTTGGGCCATTATCCACCACATCATCTACATCTACATCAGCAATCTCATCATCCAGATCACCTGGATGAGGTATGTTAATGTCAATGCCAGTGTGAAATTCATTTACAGGAGACTTTCCTTTCCCAGTTGTATCATGCACAACAACATCATCATCATCATCATCATCATCATCATCAATGACAACATCTACTTCTTCATCCATCTCATCACTTCTAGGTTCTGCATCAGGAGATGCAGCTGGTGGATTTGGTAAGGAAAGTGAACAATCAAAATCCTTGTCAGCTTCAGATGTTGGGCCTGGGGCTAGAAAGAAGATTATAAAAAGTATCAACATGTTATTTTTTTTTTAAAGCTAGATTTAAAAACTGCAATTATTAAGGCATTTAATGTAAGTCCATCTGTTTAATCATCAAAAGTCAATTCAGAACACCAAAATACCAAAAAAAATAAAACTACCATTGATTTTTATTGCAGTATATGCAACTACAATTTTAATTTTTTTAATCAACATATAATTTTACAAATTCAACTTTTCTGTTCAACATCAAATTGAAAATAAAAAGTATATACAAGAAGGATGATTTATATAATCACATGTTCTCTGAAGGCCGTGTATTTTGCACAGAAAAACGTTTTAAGCTAATAAGAACTTTCTCATTAAAAGGCTCCACCTGGCGCAGGATAGCAAAAGAAAGTTGACAATCATCATGCATCTGTTACTTACATGTACCATCTTATTTTGTGAAAAATATGTATCATTATGACATTATGATTTGAATTTGAAGAAACCCAGTCATGTAGGTCAAACATTAGAAGATTGTATCATGTAATGCAGAATAACAAAATTTCCATACAACAAACATGGGTTTAAGAACACATGTACCTAAGCTCTCTGAGTTGTTGATATCAATTCCTTTCACCTCCACCTGTACAATTACATGTAAGCAAGAAGTTTGAATCATCATATAATTGTAAGAATTCCTGTAAGGAATGTGCAATCAGAAAGAGATGTTCATGCTATTCAACAAATCCAATTCTTTCACAATTCTATTTAACAAAAGGGAAAAAAAATTGCAGCATTCAATACTTCAGGTTATAAGTGAAGCAGAACAGAAGGATATGGGCAACTTTCTCTAGATATGATAATAGCAGTTAGCACACCAAGAAGATGAATTCAGCCCCATAGAAAGCAAAAAGAAAATACGAAGTATAACAAAGACGCAAGATTGCATTTGATTCCATGATGTGCAAAATAATAATAGTGAGGGGTATGAGTTTCATAGTGCTACCGCTCCCACTCATAAGGAGGTGATTGCGATTGATTAGTGCAAGCAACAAGGACCAGCATAGGCAGATCTCTGATATTCAGTATTCTGGTTTTGGTGGTCAAACATAAATTATATGACGCAAAAATTGGTTTAAATCCCAGATATTGTAAGTCCCCAACCTTAACTCTACTCAGGTTTCATATATTGTATCACAAGATCAAATACTCTACTGCAAAGTCAATCACTATCCCTGGATATGCAATGCGTATGCAATTACACATACAATTATCCCTCTTTAGAGACAGATCACACTTCAGCCTTCTTTCTTCATTCAACAGATATGAATGATAATAAAATCAATGCAACTTACCGGCATATGAGGAAGAACATCCTTGTTCAAAGACTGAAGCTTTGCTCCTTTCCCACCAGTTGGTGGAGAATAAGATTCCAATGCTGAAATTGATGTACTCGTCACTGAGGCTGCTGGAGCTGCAGATTCACCAGGCAGCCTTAGATGTCTCAACCGCTTCACTGCTCGGTGCAACCTCTCCAACCGAAAACTCTCACCATCAAAGAACAAAACAGCATCATGTTCCTTGTAATCCTCACTGACACCTTCAAAAGTAACCTTGGGTTTTCCATGTTGGTTGTTGTGAAACTCAACTGTAACCCTGTTGTCCTTGCTCTTGTGGAACGAACCAGGTTGATTCTTATCAATTGAAGCTGGTTTAAATTCATCTGAAAAAAGAAAAAGAAAAAAAAAGTAACAATCTTGGTACAAAGTTTGACATTATGACTCTCTATTGGTAGCAGAGAAGTTCAAATCAAAGAACAACTAAGTGATAGTTCACAAGTTTTGGATGGTGCAAAGTAAAAACAAAACAAGTTTACACAATTAAAGACTTGAAAAGCTTTATATTTAGATTTTCTTTCATAACAGACTAATCATAATTCATATATGATACTCCGAAAGCTTTCATTTTCCTCAGTTTTCTGGGCAGACAAACAGTATCCGCAAACAATTTATAGGATACTGAGACTTACAACGTAAAGTACAGAATTTGGGGGAGGGACGGTGATCCACAAAGGAGGAACCTAGGGATAGGTTGTACCATCGGTCAGGCTCTGGAGCAGTGTTTGGTTCATCGTTATCGTTGTTCTTCCGATTTTTAGCCATTTTCTAAAGCTCAATTTCTACACAATTTACTATCTGAGAGTCGAAACTGAATTTTGGTACCAAATAGGAAGTTGAAATTGGAAACCCTAGGGTTCTGGGGAGGGATTGCAAACGAAACGAAACGAAACGAAACGAAACGAAACCACCTGCAGAAGAAGAAATGAGAGGGCATTTTAGTCCTTTAACCTCTAGTCCGTGACTGTGTCACTGTCACTGTGTCAGTGTGATAAATGGTGACTAAGGGAACCCAGTCCCAGACCCCAGATCAACCCGAAGGCCCGACCCGACACTGACCCTGACCCGACCCGTTCTTCAAAACCATTTTTGGATGATTTAATACTGGAGATGGTGGTAGTCGTTTTGTGGGTTGTGAAGTTATGATGGCTCTGGCTTTGGGTTTTGCTCATTCACCGAGTCCTTTGCTTTCTCTTCATCAGAAGCCAAAACCCACGTTGAGATTAGCTGCATTTCGATGCTCAGCGAAGCCTAGCAATGAAATAATCCTCAGGACTTGCAAGAATTGCAAAACCCAATTCGACCCTTCCATCAATAACCCCCGGGCTTGTCGCTTTCACACAGCTCATTTCGGAGGTGGCTGATTTCTGCCTTCTCTTCTTTCTTGTATGAAATTAGATTTAATGGTTTTCATGAACTGTATATGTTCTTGTTGAATGAAATTTTAAAGCCAAAGGGTCTTAATCTCTGTTTTCTTGCTGATTAGCTTGGCTTTGAATGAAGTTAACCAAAATTTCTGGGCTTTTTTTTTTTGGTCGAAAAATTTCTGGGCTTTATGAGTCCAGAAATATTATAAGCATACTCAAGTTGAATATTGTGGCTTCCTAAGTTTGAGTATTCAATTCTATGTGCACATACTCGCTGAATTCGAAACTTGCCCGCCGTTGAATTCGAAATTCTTGTGAGTGAGCTCCTGTGTTTGTGTTTATGTATGTGGGACTTATGAACTTTCAGCTATTATGCAGTGCTAATGGGTTTTGGGCCATTCATGTTTGTCAATTTCTTGGAAATGCATTAGTTGTAAATTTTCCCCTGCCTTCTTCGTGGAGGACGAAACAGTTGTGAATTTGCATTGGTGTGTAGTTTGCATTTCGGCCAAGATTTTTTCTGTAGGCTAATCAGCAAACCCTCTTGGGCACAATAATCAAACATAATCAACAATTTGTGATTCATTTGGCTATAAGATGGGAAAAGGCATCCGTTTGTAAATATTTCGGATCACTGAAAATCTTAAGCATGATCGTTTTTCAAGAAGGCTTCTTCTTGTGTTGTGGGTGGAAAGGAATACATAAGGGAAAAATTAAGGGAGACATAACTCTCATATAGTTGGAAGGGAATATATAAGAGTTTTAATGTTGCTTAAATATAATCGTTATCATCATTCATTCCTGCAGTGAAATAATATTATTAGCTTGTGGATTGTGGTTTTGGGGTTTCGAGGATATATCCAATTGGGAGAAATTAAGTCTTCAGCAGTCTTGCTTTTTCAAAACTATTAAGGAATAACTCAATTGGTTAGCAAAAGGTGACCGAACGCAGGGAAAAAGAATCTCGAGGTCTTGTCTATATTTAAAGATGTTATTCAATTTGGCTGACTGAGTTTAGATAATTGAAGTGAGGCTATGTTTCTGCATTTTTCTTTTTATGAATAAGTGGCTCTGCATATCTAAAAGGCAATGCATGAGAAAACGTTTGTATATCCATATGTATCTATATATATAGAAAGTTTATAAACAAAATAAAAGAGTGCATGTCAAAAGCAGTGCCTTTTTTTGTTTTTACTTTCTGCCTAAACTCAGACAGAATAGAAAGGGACTTGTTCCTCTTAAGCTCACTATTATCTGCTTGAGAAATGGAAAGAGTTGAGAAGGAGTGTTTTTCTTTCAGTACTGTCTGCATATTGCTCAAAATTTACTTTGTGCTATTTTGTATCAGTTGCAACTGAAGTTTTTTTTTTCGGGTCAATGAAGGGAGCATAGTTTATATGGTTACGTAACTTAGATCGTATTACATTGATGCCCAAAGATATGATGAAGCTTTAATTTCATTTTAAAATACCTTGTTTGAACTCTGTTATAGTTGTTAATGTCATGTTTATTTACTTATTCATTTCCCCATAGTTCCTATTATCATGTTCAGTGTGTTTTATCTTTCATTCCAGATGTTTTGTTTTTCTGGTATAATGCTTTTAACACCTGTGCTCCCTTAGGAGAAACAAAGAGGAAGTTTGAGAGTGTGCACACTGGGGGCACCATGAACACTCCCGACTCTGGAAAAGTTGTTCAATACTGGCATTGTTGTGGATCTGAAGATCCCTTTGACCCTGGATGCACAGCTGCTCCTCACTCCTCCTATGATGACTGATGTTGTGTTATAATCCTCCCCCACCAGTACATGATTCGATTCACCTTGTATGTTTGAACATTTACTTACACCACTACGGATTTTGTTCATCTTTTTCCATTTTCTTGTTTCCCTGTGTATGCAACCATATCAGATTAAGTTTTGAGCTTTAAAATTTGTTTGTAAGCTAATTTTTACTATTATTTCTTCACTGTTGTGATATTTGTGTACAAATCAATAGATGAAATGATTTTCAAGTTCTATTATGACATTAGGTCTCGAATGATGGGAGAGATCCATCAAGTGTGTGTGTGTGTTTTTTAAAACTCTTCTTCTTTTACTTATTTTTCTTCCGGTGGCTTTCTGGCAATGATGAAGTAGATGGTAGCCTTAACCCCACCCACATACGCAATACACTTCCAATAATTCTCTTTTCATTGTTTTTTAATTACGATGCTCTAACCCAGAAAAGTGTTCAAGCCCTTTTATCTTCCCCACCTTTTACTCTCTATATTGCTTTCAATTCTGACCTGCCCGCATCTTTCACGGCGGGATTGAACTGAAAAAGAACATCAGTACTGTGTGTATTAGTATGTCTCTCTTCCCCCTACTCCCAAACAATTTCCCCAATCGCCAAATTCCCTCAAACAAAACTAATTTTGATGGTGACAGCACATAGCTTACAGTGAGAAACAGAAGCTTTTTTTTTTTGGTGTGTTTTGGTTCAATACTTCAAGTCTTTTTTTTGTTTTTTTTTTGTTTTTCCATGTGATAACAGAGAAACAGAAGCTTCATGCTTTGCTGTTAGTCAAAATTTAAGGCTTTCAAAGGTTCTCTTTTCCTCCCGTAAAATTGAAGTCTTTCAAAGTTTCTCTTTTCTCCTTCTCTTTTATGCTAAATCAAGTTTGTTAATACTTATGAACCCATTTGAAAATTTCAGAAGAATATTTTTAAACTCTGATATTTTTTCTGAAATTTCGAAGAAGACAACAAGGTATGAGGAGGAAAGATGAGAGCGAGAGAGATATATATACATACATATATAAAGGGGAAGACGGCTAAGAGGGAAAGGAGAGAGAAAAGCAGGTGGTGTAGAGGATAGATGAACCTCGTATACTGTGTGCATTAAATGTTTTCACAAGTAAATTTTATTTTGAAATAAAATTATCTCATGTGCATTTCTAACCATTGAAATAAAATATGAGTAATGCTATTTGGACACACAACATTGACACCCTTAGTGACATCCGCTGATGTGTCAATGTATCATTTGCTCTTCTTTTCTCCTTGTTTTCTGTTCAGCGAATGATACATTGACACATCAGCGGGTGTCAGCTAAGTGTGTCCATGTTGTGTGTCCAAATAGCATTACTCAATAAATATATTTTGTATAATCACTTCTATAATATTGCATACATTGGAAAGTACCTCCATACATTGACAAACTTAAAATTATGAAACTTGGTGCCATAAACAATTCATAACCCTCTATGCTTAATTTATATATATAAAGCAAAACAGTGAGAATGATGAAACATTCAAAATACTAGAAAATACATTTGGTTCATTCAAAAATTAAGAATTGAAATTATTAATTAAATGAGGATAAAATGGCAAATTCACATTTTATATTATAAAAAAATTAAAATTAAAAACTAAATTAGATAATAGGTCCTACTTTTATGGAACATAACTACTTATCTTATCTTTTTTTAATTCTAAAAATAAAATAAAAAAGAAAAAAGAAAACAAATTGGCACAGGCTACTATATATAAAGCAAAAGGCACATAATGATAAAATATTTAAAATACTAAAAAATGCCCCTGGTTAATGCAAACATTAAGAATTGAAATTATTAATTAAATTAGGATAATATGGTAAATTCACTTTTTCATATTTTAAAAAATTAAAATTAAAAAAAAAATTAGATAATGTATCTTATTTTTATAGAACACAACTACCCATTATATTTTTTAATTCTAAAATAAATTTAAAATTTTAAAAAAAAAAATCTCTCACATGAGCAGAAAAGCATGCGAAAAGATTAGTTCTAAAATAATTTTAAATTTTTTTTTAAAAAACCTCTCAAAACGCAGAAGCACGTCTATGGAGGCTAGTTAAAACACTAATAAAAAGCGCCGACCCTGAATATGAGTGTCAAATGCTGGCCGACTTCGCTTCTCTCAAGTCACAAACAGCTAACCATGCAACGACACGTGGTACCATGATTTCAGATCTAACTGAAAAAACGCGGAGAAGCAACACGTGTCAATCATCCACGTCTAGCCTTTGTTTGAGGCTTTCCCGGGATCTTTGATGTGCACATCTATAAATACAGAACCAATAGTCCATTCTCTCCATCGATCCAAAAACACTCTGCACTTCAAACATTTTTCATTATTGACTCACCAATTAATTCATAAACATTTACTCCCATGGAAGCAACTTGTCTTTGTTCCTCGCCACTTCCTCCTCCGCCATTTTTCTCTGGTCAATCTCAATGTCCAAAACTTGGATTTGGGCACAGAAGATCAAAGAGATCAACTGCTAGAACTGGCATGGCTGTTGTAGCTGCTACAAGGGACCACTACGGAGGGAGATCAGCCGTCGACGAGAGCTTGATTGTTCTGAGAAAACGCATTCATGAGATGAAAATGGTGGAGAGGAACTACGAGCCTCCTCAGGATTGGATGCATTGGGAGAAGCAATGCTACGCAAGTTATGATGAGTATATTTGCAATTTGGTCGGTTTTCTTCAATCATGTCTCATGAACACTAGGCCTAGTTTAGCTCTCTCCATGCTGCTTCTCGTCACCGTGAGCGTCCCGGCATCGACGGTCATGATCTTGCTGCGTTTCATGGAGGTGGCTAATGGGGCTCTATCCGCCGTTCATCATCTTAGTTGATGTGGTTAGTTTTAGGGGTTAGCTTTATGTAAATTTGTAAATGTACAATATGAATTCCAATGTCAGATAAGAGATCCCTCTTCAAATTGGTAGTTGCCTTGCCTTTGTTCTCTTTCAAATTTGGAGCACCTCCACCCAAACAAAAGAGAGAGACCTTCTCTCTCACCAAATGTGGAGGCCACACTCCTCAAATGAGAATAAGATGGCTTATATGGTTAACTCCAAAACCCTAAGTCACTAAGCAAGTGGGCTTTTTCAAAACCAACGCAAATGGGATTTCAAAATTAAGTCAAATTTCAACGCAGAGGACAAATAGGTCAAAAATCAAAAGATGAAGTAATTGACAAGAAGGCAGAAATTGGAGAAAGACTATCCTTACATGCATTCTTATAGATACAACAATTGCGCTTGAGCACACATTATTCACAAAACGAATGGGAACCAACACTTGAACATCTTTGCAAACAATACATGCATATTGTTGTTGTCCTCTAGAAAGCTCATGACAATGAGCTTGACCCATAATAGGAGAAATTATACAATGGTACCGTATCGTATCAAAACGTCAGCTGGTGATACTTCCACTCAAAATATGCCACGTATTATTTTTAAAAAATAGTTAAAGTTTTTGTTTTACAGCTAGACTTTAAATATGCCACAAAAGAGCCACCGCCCACCCCAACCCTGGCTGCCGTGCTCTCCCTCTCTTTTCTTCCTCCCTCCATCTCTCTATTCCATAAACAACAACCATCTCTCTGTTTTGAATCCAGAGAGCATCATAACGTCCATTTTTGGGTTGATTCCTATGAGCATCACTCTCTTTTTAAAATCTACAAATTACCTGCCTCAAAATTGCAAGAGTTTAAAAAACATGGGTTTTTAAAATTTTTTACATTGCATAAGCAGCTTGAAAAAGAGCAAAATGTAAAAATGAGAAGAGAAAAAAAAAATGTTGGTTCAATTGGCCAAGCCTAGCAGCTCATGTTGGGTCAAGTTGGCTCCGACCCGTTATCCTTCCACTGCAAGGAGAGGGAGGTTGTCGCTGCTCTGTGAAACCAGCCTCACGCTTTGCCCTCCTGTCTAAGGACCATGTGACCCAGAGCCTTCGCCCAAGACACATGACCCGACTCCTTGCTTGGAACGGGCGGGCCAGAACATAGCCAAGCATGACCCGACCCGCTATAGCTGAGCCAGCGTTCCAACACTTTGGTGCCCCCACTTGGGTTATAAGCTTGAGTTACTAAGCTCGGCGATAGCACTTCCTTGTTGTGGGTTTATAAACTATAGTTTCTAGGAGTAGTTTGTCGATGTGGGACTACTTGCTCCCTTTCTCTTTGTGTTTTTCTCAACTTAAAAGATGACAAGTTTAAGTCCTTTTCGGAAATAGAAGCTCAAAATTTCATCCGCAATGACTGATCAATTTGTTTTTTTTTTTCAATCCAATGATCAAAATAATATTTTAAATTAATCTTACACAACTTTTCCTCCACAAATTGGATAATTTGATTTTTTTTTCGGGGGCTTTTCACGTAATGGATTCTCTATCGGTATTGGACTTTGTGTGCCATATAAAGAAAGATAAAAAAAACACAGCCATAAAGCCTAAACATTACCAAAACAAAGCACATAGGGAACATAGGTCTCGTCCATTTTTGTACCAACATTTGTTATATATTTTATTGTATATTAATTTGTTTATATCCTTGGTGGTTGTTTGTTGTTTGTTTTGCATCTCAAGGATTCTCTCCCAACCATGTCACTCGATCGCTATCACTCACTATAATATCACAAAAGGAAACGTATGCAAATTTATAACCAAAGAGAAACTGTCTCAATCAATTTGATTGTTTAATTTTAATTACTAGTGCAACTAAACTATACATCCAATTACTAGTGCTATCACCCCCTCACAACTTAAAATCACATGTAAAGGTTTTTTAGCTCATGTGATTAAGAGCAGTTATCCTTATATTCAAGGTCCTAGGTTCAAATCCCCTCCCTCAATATTGATTGTAAAAAAAAAAAAAAAAAAAACATTGCATATGTTTCATGGTTCACTTCTCAACAACAATTTTAACACATTATTCTATATATAAAAACGTAATTTAGATTTATGTATAGAATTCTAAAATGACGGAATTTAGATCTTCATCATTTAAATGTCTAGCAATAAACAATTTCAGTGTTTGGATTTATGTATGTCGAATTTTGTAAATGACATAAATTATAAGAAAAAACGAAATCATGCTCAATAGAAATTGTAAAATGACGCCTTTTTTTGGCGGAATTTAAACTCAAAAATCTCGATCCCCAATTTACATGATTTTTTCTGCGCGTCATTTAATAAGTTATGTGCTTTAAGTTGCCAAACAATGAAAATATCAAATTCTCCTATTCAATTTCTGATTTTTAGCTAAATCCTGAGTTATTTTACACCATCCAAATGGAAGGTAAAATAAAAGAATTGATATACATACATTCATATATCAAATTACCTACACAACGTTTAATTATGTGGTTGTTTATATGTTTCGTTAGCAATTTATTCCAAATGAAAAAAATAATCATGGAATCAAAATTATTGTGGTTTAATCAGAATAAATTAAATCCTTAAGTCCATTACGGAAAACCATGAAATTTCTTAATCATGCTCTATTATCACATGTAAACATAATTTGGGTAAAGTTATAAGACTCAATTCATGACCCAATAAGATCTTAAACTTCATGATTTTCAAAATACTATAAGGTGGAAATTTCAATAAACATAATTTACATACATACCTTGATAATCATCCTTCAAAATCTATAGTTAGACTGAGTACAATTTTTCTAGTATAGCCCTAAGTAAGTACCACCCATCACGGTAGTAGAATAGAAAACTACTTCTCTTAATTTGACCAATATAAATTTTTTGAATAATATATATTAAACCCATATAATAGCAAATAATTTGTGTAACATATAGGCCATTTCATGTGGGCCACATAGAATATTATTATATAAAAAATTCTTACACAACTTTTCCTCCACAAGTTGGATAAGGCAGCATAAATTTGAAATTTTTTTTTTGGGGCTTTTCACGTAATGGATTCTCTATATGGCTCGGTATTAGATTTTCTGAGTCATTCTGTAATGAGGGCCTTAGTCTTTAGATGATGCCCTATTTATTAACCATTGGATCAAACTAACCAATTTGATCAACGGCTAATCAATTTGATCTAACGATTAAGAGATAGGGACTCATCTAAGGGCCTTGGATAAGGCTCTAACTATAGAATTCTTGTGGACTTTCTACTATTTTTGGCTAGCAGGGCCTTGTACATCTTTGACCCAAATGAAAACTACTCCTTTTTTTTTATTATTTAAAAAATTATTTAAATTTTATATACAAACAATATTCAGGAAACGAATCTAGGACCTCAAGTGCAATAGGAAATGTTCTTAACCATTTAAGCTACAAGTCCCTTACAAATGACCCATTAGTGTAGTGGTTTGGAGTAATTGTTCCCCCAAAAAAGGTTATGGGTTCAAGTCCTACCATCCGTGTAGTATGTGTGAATTTAGTTAGTATGTTATCACCCCTCTTAATAGGAAAGATTCTAAAAAAACACTCTCTAATTTGATACTTTATTTTCTTTGATGGAAAAAGTGCAAATATATTTAATATTCCCCAAATAATTGTTTGATAAGAACTAAACTGTAAATAATTATAACTAATTGCCGACTTCAACAAAAAAAACAATAAAACAAAAAAAAACAAATTGCCCGCAACCAATAATTGTGCTAACTTGAAGATCAATTCTCTCGTTTACTTTTGACCCCACATATTTTGTTTTTTTCCGATGAAAATTTTGTCTTAACATTCAATAATAGGAACTAACGATTTGAAAAACCCTCACAATTCACTGTGACGGCTTAAAAAATATTCAAATTACGTATTGCTTTTGCTTCTTTCTATTGACTTTATATTTTTTGGTTGGAGTATCACGTTTATTTTAAGCGCTACCTCATCTATTAATGGAAAAGATCTTTTTCTCAAAAGATCCCAAAAAATTTATAACTTATATTTTGGGAGATTCACTATTATACCAAATATAGGAGTTCAAATTATAAAAAAAAATTCTATATGAAATGGACTTTAGAAACACACCCAAAGCCCATTTACAACATAACAAAGAGACTTTTAACTTCTTATAAATTACAAAACTGCCATCGATTTCTTAAAACAAGTCCAATCCCAAAACCTCATAAAAAAATTCAAAACACTCAATAGGGCATTAAAGTAATTTAATAATCAAAATTAAATTAAATAGGGCCAGCAGTCATTTTTTGGGGTTGCTTAAGAATGAGAATACGACTAAATAACTCTATTTATGCAAATGACCCACTAGTGTAGTGGTTTGGAGTATTTACTCCTTCAGGCAAGGTCCTGGGTTCGAGCCATAGCATTAGTGTAGTGTGTGTGAGTTTAGTATGCTATCACCCTTCTCAATAGGAAAGGTCCTCAAAAAAAATAAAAAAAATAACTCTATTTATAATGGAAAAGATCTCAGATTATATATATGTTTTTTAATAGCCACCACAATTATGGAACATATCACGTGCATCATGTGATATCATCTTCAAAGGTCTGACTTGATTGTATGTTACGCTTCAAATCTTGTGCATGAGTGGATATTCGTTTTCAACCCTCTGGTTATCCCAAAATTAATGCATTTTTTAAATTGTCTCATTGTCTGAATATTAAAATAATGGAATTGGTTGATGAGGTCTATTATGGTGGAAAATGGCTTGCAAATGAATGGTTGCGGGTTCGAATCACCATGATATTATAGTAGCGTATGTGTGTGAGAAATCTCTTTTCTCTGTAATTTAGACCATTGCTTGTACTAAATTTTTTAATAAAATTGCTATTAATTGGTTAATGTGAGAAGTCGTTGATGTAGGTGAATTGTATAAAAGCTCAAACCACCAATCAAACGATTGCTTCAAATTGGAAGGTCATAAACAGCCCACATCTCAAAACACAGGTCAGATTAATTTAATTTCATACTTGTTATGAGATCTTATTGTGATCAATTCTTGTGATTTCTGAATTTATAAGAGGTGTTTGATCCAAGTTTTGCTCAGTTCAATTCTTCTGATTTCTGAATTTCTTGGGATTCCATTGAAAGCAACAAAACAATGGATTTTTTCCTCGCTTCAATGCACGGAAACACTCTCAAAGGAGGTTTGCTCCTAAGTGCAGTACTGCCTTTATTGAAGCTCCTTTGTATCGCTGCCATTGGTTTACTTCTTGCTCATCCAAAATACCAACTTGTCCCAAAAGCCACTTTCACATTTCTCAGTAAGCTGGTGTTTGCTGTCTTTTTGCCCTGCTTGATCTTCACCAATCTTGGTCCATCCATCACTTTAAAGAACTTTCTGAATTGGTGGTTCATTCCTGTAAATGTTGTTATAAGTACCACAATTGGGTGTGTTTTGGGGGTTTTGGTAGCAATAATTTGTAGGCCACCACCGGAATTTTTTAGATTTACCGTAATCATGACTGCATTTGGAAACACAGGTAATCTCCCTCTTGCAATTGTGGCCTCTGTTTGCCACAGTGATGATAACCCTTTTGGTACTGAAGATGACTGCACTGAGGCTGGTGTGGCGTATGTATCTTTCTCGCAATGGGTTTCTGTTATTCTTGTGTATACACTTGTTTATCACATGATGGAGCCCCCTTTGGAATCTAGTAGAAGTGCTTATGAAGTTGTCGTTGAGGAAGAGGAATATCATGAGATTGAGGAATTGGGGTCTAATGGCAATGGCAATGGCAATGAAAATGGAAATGAAAATGATCTCACTAGGCCACTTCTTGTTGAGGCTGAATGGCCTGGAATGGAAGATAAGGAAATTGAGCATTGCAAGACACCCTTTATTGCAAGACTTTTTAATAGCAGCAATTCTATACTTTCCCACACCGCTCTTCCAGATTTCGGCAGCAGGGAGGAGGAGAAGGAGAAGAAGGGAAGTCAGCCAAGAAGTACCAAGTGTCTGGCAGAGCCTAGAATGGTGAGGAAAATCAGGTCTGTTGCTGGGATGACACCAATTCATGGCATTCTTCAGCCCCCAACAATTGCTTCTCTTTTGGCCATTATCATTGGCATGATTCCTAAGTTGAAATCTTGGGTTTTTGATGACGATCAAATCCTTTCATTCATCACAGACAGTTTGGAAATTCTAGCTGAGGCCATGGTGCCTTCTGCCTTGCTTGTTCTTGGAGGGATGCTGGCTGAAGGACCAAACGAATCAAATCTAGGAATTAGAACCACAATTGGGATTATTGTTGCAAGGCTTTTGGTACTTCCTTTGATTGGAATTGGTGTGATTCTATTGTCTGATAAATTGAACATTTTGATTGCCGATGATCCATTGTACCGGTTTGTTCTTTTGCTGCAATACACCACACCAAGTGCTATCTTGTTAGGAGCAGTTGCAAGCTTGAGGGGTTATGCAGTCAGAGAGGCTTCTGCACTCCTCTTCTGGCAGCATATTGTTGCTGTCTTCTCCCTTTCAGTCTATATTATTGTATACTTCTACATATTGTTTTGAAATAGAGCTTGGACCTCAGATTCTTTCCGATATACAGATTACTTTCGAACTATTGAAAAATGGTTTCATTTGGTGTTTCTCTTTCAAGTTTTTAAGTTAGCACACGAAATGTTTCATGCATATAAATTGTTTGCTATTTGAGCCTTCTAGTAGCAAGGCCCTGCAGTTTTTGAGATACGTCTTCAGTCGGGTGTTCTTGTCCAAATCAGCTCTGATCTTATCACTCTTGGAAAAATCTTTCGTTTACCTTGCTCGTGTTCTATCTTCAATATGTTTCAGCACATCCCCCTCCAGCAGCCCCTGCTCTCTTCAATGCCTTAACTTTAAACTGCTGCAAAAACCTGTCCAAAATAGTATTCATTTGTTCTGCGCCTTCCTTCTGGCCCCTTCTGAATATGGAGATAAAGCATCCTCAGTCTTGCTAGGTATAACAATCAGAAAACAAGCAGCCATAAAACTCAACATAAAATTGAGGAAGTATGGTAATTACACAATTTTCACTCAGTTTCTCTTTAAAAACCAGCAAGTTCTGCGGCTATATTCCATTATGGCTAATTGTCGATGTTACGAAATATGGCCAAAATACCACATGGCTAAGGATTTATGTTTCGATTTGGATGGATATATTGGTAGTCCAAATTTAGAGAAATTATGGTGAAAATTTTGGTACAAAATATAAAATGACGGAAGCTTGCTATAAAACATACAAGTTATATATATAAGTTATGTGTCAAGCTTCCACAAACTCCAAAACGAATCAATAAAATAAAGCATATATGTAACATGTAAACTTTGTAAAATAGTTTCTTTGGAAACAAAATTTGCATGTAATGTGGAAAACAATTGGCATTTAGGTACTGAACCTTAGGATCAGACTTTGAACTTTAAGTCTTAATACAATGTGTAGATAGAATATATTTTCTATGTTCCATTCCATGTTTTATATACTTTATAAATTCATATGAAACCTCAAGAGTACGAGATAAATTTTAGGCTTAATCGGTCTGTTATCTTTCAAAAGTATTATGTTGTTTTGACCGATTTGACAGTAAGAGGTAATATGAATGAACCACAAAACTTTGGTAAAAGGGACAATGTAAATCACTTTAACTTGCTGGTGGGAACAGTTGCAACATTTTTCTTTTGTTGCCTTTGAATTTCAAATCACACTTGTGGAATATTGACTAGAAATTGCAAGGTATCATAGGATCAAAATTGCATTGAAATTCACCGAAAACTTGACCAAAATTTCCACTCAACTACCTCTTAAATCTCCTAATTTTGTGAGATATTATACCGACATTGTCAATGTATTGCTGAAATACTACCCTGTGTCAAACACTTGTTCACCCTTTTCCACTACCATCCCCAACTTAACGCAACCAAACTCACGATAATTGAGCAACACGACAAAAACAAATATGGTGAGAGAGAAATTGAATGACTGAAAAGTAAAAAGAAAACGAGGAAGTCGGTGAGAGGAGGAAGAAGAGGAAGAGTGGGATGTGATGTGATGTGAGTGTGGCGTGGTGGGGTTATTTTCTCATTTGCGGTTAGAATCTCTCTCTCTTTCTCTCTTTCTCTCTCTCACCTTTGCCTCTTCGTCCCAATCTCTCCCATTTCTACAGACTCGTGCGTACAAATACAATGTCCCTTAAATGCCTGGTTTCTTCGCTTCTCTACCCAAAACAAGAAAAATGCTTGCTTTCTTTCTAATGGGTTTTTGGGTGTTGTGTTGGTGATTTTATTAATATTATTGTTGTAAATTTGAAATACCGTAGTGTGTACTACGACAACACTCCATCTCTTGCTTCGTCGTTTCAAGATACACAAGCTACAAGGCAAAAGATTGCTGCTTTCTTCCTTTCTTCCATTGCAGAGAATCCCATTCCTATTCTTGTAAGCTTCCCTCTCTCTCTCTCTCTCTCTCTCTCTCTCTCTCACCTTTGCCTCTTCGTCCCAATCTCTCCCATTTCTACAGACTCGTGCGTACAAATACAATGTCCCTTAAATGCCTGGTTTCTTCGCTTCTCTACCCAAAACAAGAAAAATGCTTGCTTTCTTTCTAATGGGTTTTTGGGTGTTGTGTTGGTGATTTTATTAATATTATTGTTGTAAATTTGAAATACCGTAGTGTGTACTACGACAACACTCCATCTCTTGCTTCGTCGTTTCAAGATACACAAGCTACAAGGCAAAAGATTGCTGCTTTCTTCCTTTCTTCCATTGCAGAGAATCCCATTCCTATTCTTGTAAGCTTCCCCCTCTCTCTCTCTCTCTCTCTCTCTCTCTCTCTCTCATTTAATCTTTCCCACATGCCAATCAATCATAACTTAACTTCATTTATTTTTGTGGGCATATCATTTTCTAACCTCTCTCTCACATTGTGCATTTCCGGTGTTGTATTTGATTTGGGCAGTTCTTCCAAGTTTTTGGTTTCTGGGTTTTCTTTTTTTTTTTTTTCTTTTGAAAAAAAAAGATCAAATCTTTTTCTTTTTCTTTTGATAATTTTATATTGCATTTTTTCTGTTGGGGTTTCCTTGTGTCATTTCAATGTCGTTAATTTTTTGTTGTCAACTATATTCTGTTCAACTTCCTACAGCTGCATTTTCTGCTTTTAATCCCTATCCATTATAGCTTCTCATTTTTTTACAAAAGGTACATTGACTTTTGACATCTTTCCCCTTTTTTACCTCTCCTATTTCCCTTCCTTTTCCCTTTCGTGCCTGATGGTCCTTTATTGATCTTGATGCAGCTTGAGTGTTGCTCCTTTGCCATACCTCCTTTTTTGGGATTCTTCTCGCCATTCTTTAGTATTTGTTTTCACAATGTATGGATAATTATTTTGATGCATTGATAATTAGGTTTCATGGTTAAAATTGATGGCTGCTCAATGGTTTCAGAAAATTCCTTTAATTCCTGAGAAAACAGAGTGAAAGGGAGGAAACCAATATTTTGGATTTTTGTGTTAGATCTTTCTTCATCTTTGAATGATATAAATATTCTTCGAGTAGCTGAATTTCAAGATTAGAAGATCTGGTTTCATATTGTTCCACAGTTATTTTTGTCTCACTTCTTTTTATTTTGATGACTAGGGTTCGTTTCTATAGCGGTGCTAACATTCTTTTGACTGTGTTAGAGGTGATATTCGCAAACCTTTCTTGCTTCTTAGTTGCACTATTTGCAAATTTCTTAGCGCTCTATGAGATATGTTCCGTCTTTTTGTGCATGGATATTTAATGACCCTGCTCTTTTGTTCTGAGTAGACGGTTGAAATGAGAGAAAATTATTACTTTCATTATCTGCTTGATCAAGTGGAGGCTTTATTTATCATATGAACAAATAGTATGAGCTTTAAGATTTGTTTTGGTGGCCTTTCAGTATCCAAAGTTGTCCCATCAATTAGAACAGGACATTTGGCTTTTCATTTTCATAATTTTTTTTCACAATTTTTTGCTTATTATATTATACTTCGTATTTTATTTTATTTATTCTTTCCTCTTGTCATTTGACTAAGGGCTTCAGTTTCTATTGCAGATTTATATTTCCTTTACTGGATTGTTTTAATGGTTTTTTGTTTTGAAATTATACGGAGTTATGGTGATATTTTAGTTCTAACTTTTGGTGGAAATTGAAATTTGAAATTTAAGTTAGGTTGCTTAGATGATTCTAAATTGATTTTCTTTTGTAATTTAAAGGATGGGGGATCATTTTGTGTTGTTTGTTGATCGACTGATCACTGAATCTACCCTAGAAGCTGTTATAGAGAGCACATATCAGTTGCAGCACCCAACACTCACAGCAAGCCAAGATACTATGGACTCTTCCCATAAAATAGATGTGAATACTCGGTCATCTTCTAGTAAATTTGTACAGTGTAGGATTTGCCATGATGAGGATGATGATTCGAACATGGAAACACCATGTTCTTGCTGTGGCAGCTTGAAGGTCAGTTGTGCACTGGCTTTTCTGTTGAAACTTCTTCTCGTGTTTGCTTTTTAAAGACTGGACTGTATCTTTTGTTTCCTCTAAACTTCTTTCTCATGCATCGATGTTAATGATAGTTCTCACATAATTCTATGACCAAGTAGTCCCCTTTTGTTTTTCAATTTTATTTAGTTTGATCAAACTCATAAATATTCATTTCTATTGCTTCAAAGTTGAAAAACGTATGTCTTGCGTCATTGATTCTCTCCATCAAATTCATCTCCTTGCTTATAAACAAAATTCTTACACAGAAATCTCAATTATTTAATTTTCTAACTAGGCTACCCATCTTTTCCTATTTTATGGTGTTTATAATTACTGTAAATATGCTTAATAATGATGGTCCATGTTGTTTGCCAAACTTCAATAATTGGGCTTCTACTTTAGAATTACAGTCCCCTCAGTATGAATATCCCTCTTAAATTAGTGGTTTATGTTACCGAATTAAAAGTTTAGGAACACAGACAAAAAAATTGAGAAGCCATGTCTCTATGAGTTCAGTCGAACACACTGCAATATAGTTCCTTTATGGATATTGTAATCTGATTTAGGCTTTGAAAAATGTTCAAATCAAGTTTGAAGCAGAACATCATTTTTAATGAGAGTTAAATAGTCAACTGATTTCATAGTAGCAGGGAAAACTGCACTTTGAACTTTAAGATTTTCAAATTTATGAATTCTGAATTTCTTTTCAAGCATCATATTATAAGGGTTCTTCCCCCCCCCCATAATCTTCTGTAATAATTTGGAATATATAGTATAAGAAGCAAGACTGTACCACAAGTAATAACTCTACACTAAGTTTGGACTCCTGATTGTGGCCATGGTTTACTGAGTATGATACAGATGGTCATGTCAAGTTGTTTTTTAGTAGCTTATTTATTCATTCCATCAAGTACTATTACACATCAGAGGGATTTACCAAAACAGCTATTTTCTTTGTCTTCCCCTTTCTCTGGCGCCTGCTTTCTGGCCATTGCAAGTACAATTGGATTTATATTACAGTCATTTATTTACTTGATATTCATATTTTGCAGTATGCTCATCGTAAATGTGTTCAGAGGTGGTGCAATGAGAAGGGTGATACAACATGTGAGATTTGCCACCAGGTATGCCATTGATTTACTGAACATGTTTCAGACTTTAGTTATGGTTTATGACCTTATTAAACTGGGAGAACTTTCCTTTTTCCTGTTGATTGTGAAATTGCAGCAATTCACGCCAGATTATACAGCACCACCTCCTCTATTTCATTATAGTGGTATTCCGATGAACTTCCGGTATCTCTCTACCTATCCATTATACACTCAAGGTTTTCTATTTTGCTTCAACAAAGGATCGCTTATAACTCATTGAGAATCATAAAAGTTATACTCAAATTGTTGTTACCATCTTAGGGGGAATTGGGAGATTTCCAGAAGGGATCTGCAGAATCCTCAATTTATAGCAATGGTTACTGCTGATCATGAGTACATGAATACCGACTTTGATGATGAATACTCAGCTCCCTCTTCAAGAAGCTTGATATGCTGCCGTGTAATTGCTATCATCGTAATATCTCTCTCTCTCTCTCTCAGGTGCATTTTGAAAGTAAGGGAAAAAATAAAAATGGTACAGAATTTCTGACATCTTACTCAAAGAAAAGAATCTTTCCTGCTGAGTATTTTGTTTTTCCATATTATGACATTCAAGAAAACCATTGAGTTCTCCTCATCTGTTTGTTTCAACAGAACACTCTCGTCTTTATATCGGGCAACCTATATTTGGCAGAACATATAATCATGAAACTTGAATAAATGAATCTCTCTTCTGATCATTTAGGTCTGAATATAATTTCTTATAAACAAACAGTATCATATTTCGAAATTGTACATGGCCATTTTGTCTAAGGTGGAATACGCTACCCAATGACCTTGGGATTCCTTTGAAACTATTGGAGAATTATTGTGTTCTGAATTTTAGCCACAAAAGAATATGATATGTCAAGTCTGTCTGATAAGTTTCAAATAATTGGTATTTTGGACTTCTGTACTTCACCATATTTTACGGCATGTGCTTATGCATTTGTTTATTTTCAGTTTATGGTTCTTCTGGTTTTACGTCATACTCTTCCATTCTTAATAAGCGGAGCTGGAGAGTACTCATTGACATTGTTCACCGTAAGTTTGGCTAGTGCAGTTTTCTTATTATTTAAGGATGAAATGCTCTTCAGGAAAATGTAAAAGAAACATATTGATATCTTCATTATGCTGCAGTTACTGATGTTGAGAACGATTGGGATTCTATTTCCAATCTATATCATGGTTAGAGCATTCACTGCTATCCAACGTCAGCGGCGTCAACAGGTTAGTCATATAAGAACTCATTAACCATGTCGGATTCACTTCATCATTTTATTGAAACACTGAGCAGCATCCATGACTTCCACTATTACTTCCTGTGTGTGCATGTGTTTTTGCCTGTAACAAGTTAATGCAATTCCATAGAAATCATTAATCTTATCATAGTTTTGTCTCTTACGCACTTCTGTTCTGGTATTAAGTTAATATAATATTTGTAGAAATCATCGTATGCGCATGACATTGTTCATCTGTGTAAGCATTGCATTTCATTATACAATGCAGTGGATCTGGAATAAGCAAACCATTAATTCTTATTGAAATTGACAGCTGAATTTGTTGGTTCATGTACTAGGATCCTGAAATTTCCCTTGCCACATCCGACGAAGAAAATGACTTGGCATATCCATCACGCTTGATTCAAATTCGATAATTGATTTAGCCACCACGCTTGGCTGGTGGAATCATTTGCTATCGCTGCAACATCCCAGAAACGGATCAATAATCAAGATCTGCAATTATGTGTAATGCAGATGAACATGATCAGTGACATCATCATTTCAAGACAATGTGCTCGAAGCATCGATTACCGGCAAACCTTTTGCTTACCACGATTCTGAAAGCTATGTGTAGTAGACAGCATTGGATATAAGCTTTTTTCTTTTCAAGTACGGCATACAAATTATGGGAAGCCTAGAAATCAAAGCTGCATGTAAATGTTAATAGTAAGTTGTTTTATTTTATCCAAAAGCAACATGATTGCTGCTATCACTTTTAATATGCTCCCTTCAAGATCTTGTTTATAAATTACCCACAAAAAAAAGGTTCCAAGTGTAAATTTGCTATTATGGGCCGATGCTCCAGCCACCATAAGTATGGAAAAACTAAGCAGAAAGAACTTTTCCAATGATGAGTTCGATTGGCTTGTCATCCAAGGCATAGGGTGCATACAGGAGATTTTTCCAACTAAACACAAGATTGAATAATTGTGATTGTTATTATATTTATCCAAAAAGGAGGATATATGTACATGTACAAGTACAAGTTGACTTTTTCTACAAGTAAAAGTAATTAGCTATTACAAGGAAACCTAATTAGGTAATTATTCTAATTAGGTAACATGAATTACACTAGGAAATCCGGGATCACAGGATCCCTGAATTATGGCTCATACCAACTCCTCAAATTGGTGCGTAGATATCTCCTATACCCAACTTGTCAAGTGAGTCATGAAAAACTTTTCCTGACATTGCATGCGTTAAGACATCTACTACCTATTCTTCTGACTTTACAAATGGTATATCGATTAGCTTATTTACCAGCTTCTCCTTGATATAATGCATATCTACTTCAACATGATTAGTTATGTCATGTTGAACTGGATTATTTGTTAGAGTGCTACTAAATGAACCCTAAAATTAACTGAGTACACCCTACTACCAAAGCATTTATTAAATTACTAATTTACCCTAATACAAAATGACCAAAAAGAATTTATTGAATTATGAAACAAATGTAATTTTAATAAATGCACCCTACTCACTATATTCAGCCCTAATCTATGTTTGGATTAAAACCAGAGCTGGGACTTTTTTGGTGAACCTCATGGTTTCGTGACATGTGGACCCCTGACCAAGCTAAGGGCAACCCTGCGGCTCGCACCAGTAGATCATTCGAGTACGAATCGGCATTTGCTGCCGATCGTATCGACAGGTCCTTCAAACGGTGAGCCCTCCTCCGAGTGCCTCGCAAAAACGGACCGCCTGTACCAGCTACCGAACAACCTGAAAGCACGTGATCGGTATGTCCTGACGATTCTACGGAACAACCTTGAATACCTTGCTTTGATATCTGCAGACTTGTGTCAACCAGGGAAGGCACTCCCACGAGTCCCACATCGAAACTAAATACCAAGAGCATACCAGACACACTCTATAAAAGGCCCCCTTGCCTTAGACAAAGAGTAAGATTTTGGAGCTTGACTTTTACACTAACACATTTTCAATAGCAAAACTCTTAAAAAGAAACTTACTTTGGCATCGGAGGGTCTTCGGCTGGTACCACACCGGTGCTCTAGACCTCACATGTCATCTCTCTCTCTTTGATTCATATTCGGCGCCCCAAGAAAGTGCTCGCTCATATATGAAGGCTCAATCGGTCTTTAGACCGTCCACATCACCTGTAAGTTGATTCTATCTCTATCTGTTTAGTTTTAGCGCCAACAATACCAGTTTCTGTCAACAAGTCTATAACATACTTCCTTTGAGAGAGACTAATACTATTAGCAAAGCGAGTTACTTCTATTCCAGAAAATACTTTAAAGCTCCCAAGTCCTTTATCTCAAACTTCGAGGCTAAGAACTTCTGTAATTCACCCATTTCAACAACATCATCACCAGTAACTACCATTTCATCGACATAGATTATTAGCAAAGTAATCTTAGCATCCCTATGTTTGATAAATGGGGTATGATCCGAGTTACCTTAATGATCATACTTCTTCATTGCTTCAGTGAACCTCCCAAACCATGCCCGCGGAGATTGTAAAGGGCCTTTCGAAGCTTACACACCTTCCCACAGTTATTAGATAACCCATAACTAGGTGGTATGTCCATGTACACTTCTTATTCTAGATCTCCATGCAGAAACACATTCTTCACATTGAATTGCTTGATAGACCATTCTAAATTAGATCCTAAGGACAATAGAACTCGCACAACATTCATTTTTTCCACCGGTGTAAACACATCCTGATAATCAACTCCATACACCTGCGTATACCCTTTGGCCACAAGTCTTGCTTTATATCTGTCTATTGTGCCATCAGCTTTGTGCTTAACTGTGTACACCCATCGACATCCAACATGTTTATTTCCTTCAAGTTGCGGAACTATCTCCCATGTTCCATTCTTCGTAAGGCCTTCATCTCCACATTCATTGCTTCTACCCATTTTGTGTCTTGTAAAGCTTCTTCCAATCTATTAGGAATTTTAATTTTTTCCATCTGACTGACAAATGCTTTAGCTTGAGGAGACAGTCTGTGTATGGAGACATAATAAGCAATGACATATTTCACCTTGCCTTTTCGTGAGAATCTCTTTAATGGTACCCTATTTGCTCATACAAGTAATTTTTTCACAATTCCAACAATATTTTGAGAAGCATTGGGATATGAAGGACTTACCTCAGGGATGTTCAGTGGAGCATGGGTAGGTATGTTCGGTAGAGTGAGGACTGGTGGTATGGTAACATCGGTAACCCTTTTGTTGAGGTACAAAACCCACAAAGACATAACGGAGGGCACACAGATCCAACTTGGTCCAGTGAGATTTATTGAAATTGACATACGCCACACAACCAAAAATGCGCGGGGTGAGATTAAGATGGGAACAAACAGGAACATGAGCAGCCAATGTTTGAACTGGTGTTTTAATACCTAAAACATGTGAAGGCATATGATTAAGAAGGTAGATACCATACTGAATAGATGCGGTCCAAAGGGTTTGGGGAACACGCCCCCTAATAAGGAGAGCTTGGGCAGTCTCAAGAATATGGTATTTTTTGCGTTCAGCCGCGCCATTCTATCCTGGAGTCTGCAGACACGTAGTTTCATGGAGAATGCCTTTTTCAGTGAAGAAGTCTGGGACTATGTGGTTAAAAAATTCCCCTCCATTATTTGAACAAACAATTTTAATCGAACAAGAATTTTGAGTTGAATTATATGGTAAAAATTCTTGAATAAAGAACCAAGTTCACTTTTATGCTTCATAACATAAAGCCAAGTTAACCGAGTACAATAATAAATGAAGATCACATACCACCAAACACGAAAGACAGTAGTAATCGGAGATGGACCCCAAACATCTGAATGGATTAAATCAAAAGGAGATGTGCTTTTATTCTAATTAGGTGGATAAAAAGTTTGGTGACTTTTTGCAAGAATACAAGTGTCACACTAAAAATCAGAAATTTTTACTCCACTAAATAGAGATGAAATCAGAGACTGTAAATAACCGAAGGAAACATGACCCAACCACCAATGCTATAACCAAATCTTCTTATACTTCTCACTGACAATGCCCCGAACCTCATGAACATGACTTGGTGCAATGTCATCCACATAGTAAAGCCCTCATCTCTTAGTACCACGCTCAATGATCTCCCTGGTCTGAACATCCTAAACCGAACAAAAAGAAGAGAACATGAGCACGCAGCAATCTAACTGTTCGGTAACTTACCCAATAGATAATAAATTATGGGACAAAGTAGAAACAAGCAAAGTTTTATGTAAAGAGAGGATAAGAGTAAGAGTTATTGAACCAGCCCAAGTGATTGAGTTAGATTCGCTGTTGGCAGTAACCACACTTATTTTGGTAGGAGCAGTCATAGAATGTAAAAAAGATTTATCATAGGTCATATGATCAGTAGCACCTAAATCGATAATCCAACCTATATCTCGTTGGTCGGAAAGCACCAAAGCTTTTTCCTGGTTACCTTCGTAGTCAGTAGGCTCTATAATGGATAACTGAGAGAGAACATTAAGAAAATCATCAATTGAACGAGCTGTTGTGGGCGAGGTTGAGACACTTGAGGTAGCGCTAGCGACTAGGCTACACTGCTCCTGCCATTCTTTTTCTTCGCGTGCACCGCATTTCGTTGCTTTTGGCGTTTAAGGAACCACTCTGGAAACCCATTCTTGTAAAAACACGTGGCCTCTGTATGACGGTTCTCATTACAGTAATTGTAATGCATGTTTTCTTTTTCCTCAGGGGTTGGACAGGGAAAAGAAAAACTAGTAGCAGGGGCTTCGGGAACCATTATAACAGAGGATTCAGTCTTTCCATGCTTCTTGAGCATCGTCTCTTAGTGCTGGACCTCTTTATGACCAAAAGCAAACGAATCCTCCAATTTTGGTAATGGACTCAACCTCAACAAATCTCCTCTAATTTTATCAAACTCATCATCTAGACTTGCAAGAAAATTATAAATATGGTCTTTCTGTATCCCAGCCTATTGAATCTTCACATCATTAGGGCACTTCATGTTGATTGGACGATGACAGTCTAGTTCCAACCAGACGCTTTTGAGCTCAGCAAAGTAAGATGCAATATCACGACCTGCTTGAGTAATACGAGTTGCTTTACACTGTAATTCATAGATCTGTGACTCATCAAATGTGTCATCATACATTTGGGTTGTACTCTCCTAAACATCTTTAGCTGTTGGTAGATCTAAGAACAACTCTACCAAATCAGGTTCCATGTTTTTTTATCAACCATCCTTTAACAATTGAGTCCTCAATACACCACGAATCAAAGCCCGGAGTGTCTTTCTCCACTTGAGCCACCTTCCCGGTTGTACTCTCCTAAACATCTTTAGCTGTTGGTAGATCTAAGAACAACTCTACCAAATCAGGTTCCATGTTTTTTATCAACCATCCTTTAAATATTGAGTCCTCAATACACCACGAATCAAAGCCCGGAGTGTCTTTCTCCACTTGAGCCACATTCCCTGTCAGATAACCTTTTTTTTCCCTTGCCTGACACATGAAGCAACATCATCTTTGACCAAGTGCTATAGTTCTTTCCATTCAACCGTATGGTGAATAAGGCAGGGGAAGTATTGTTGCGAACTGTAACAATTGGTTGCACCATGTCAAGATTTTTGTGGGTTTTTGAAGCATTGGAAGCACTGGATTTTGAGGCTGCGGTGAGGTTGTGTGAAATCCCATATTTTTAAATATGTATATTAATATTCCATGAAAATTAAATAATTATAATT